CTTGCAACCAACGCACCACCAGGTTGTGAAGTTTGACTCCAAACCCGGTCATGCCACCCAATCGTGGAAAGGAAGTCGGATTGTGATCGCGACCTATGTGACGAGATTGGCGTCGCAGCTGTCTGCGACGGACAAGGAGTTTCTGGTTGAGGTGGGCTTCCCAAAGAAGGCGTTTGACTTTCCCAATTACCAGTTTGCCGTGGAACAAGGCCAACCCGCTTCGTCCTCGACAACGACTACGACCACAACGAATGAAACTGTCTTGCCATCTGGTGTAGACCAGAAGGAGTACGAAGCCTGGAAAGCCAAGGTTGCGAAGTTCCACCGAGCTGCCGGACATCCCACAAATCGAAATCTTGCTCGCATTGTGGAAGATGGTGGACATGCTGAATGGAAGGTCCGAGTTGCTCTTGAACACAAGTGCTCAGCTTGTGAAGCTGGGAAGCTGGGTGGAACCAGTGCTGGAACGATTCCACCAGCCAACACACAGCCGCTGTATCGAGCGTGGGAGGCCGTGACAGTAGATGCAGCTGAATGGCCAGTACCGGGGTCTAAACAGAAGGTGAAGTTTCTGCTCTTCATGGACTACGCCACAAAACTGCGAGCTGTGGCCCCGTTGAAGGTCTATGATGCCTTGTCCATGGACGCGGAGTCGGCAGACATGGTGATTCAGAGCCTCTCAGAGAAATGGCTCAGCGTGTTCCCAAAGCCAAAGGTGGTGATCATGGATGCTGCGAAAACCTTCACCTCAGCCAAGGTCCATGAGTTCTTGGCGTCCATCAACATCCTTCCGCACTTCGTGGCAGAGACTGAGCATTGGAGCCATGGAGTTGCAGAGGCAGCTGTACAAGACGTAAAGGCCACCGCCACGGCAATACAGAGGGACGCGCTACACCAAGACCCACGGGTGACATTGTACCTGGCGGTTGCATCCTTGAACTCCACTGAGTACACGGCTGGGTATTCGGCTTATCAGTGGGCCTACGGTCAGAACTACAACATCACGGACGAGGACTACCGAACCTTCGCATCCATACCGGCAAACCAGCAGCAAGACTTCACGGCATTGGTCACGGCTCGCCAACAAGCAGAGGAGATTGCGAGAAAGACCAAGGCGCAACGTGTCTTGACACGACTGGCCAACACCTCTGTTCGACAACCGCTACGTGAGTTCAAGGAGATGGACCTGGTGAAGATCTGGAGGAAGTTCTGGCCTACGGAGGTTCACAAGGGACCCAGAGGTGGACTCAAGAAGGCAGGACGCCCTCATTGGATAGGGCCAGGACGAGTGGTCTTTCATGAGATTCTTCCTCATCAAGAACAGGATGATCGGAGACGACACATCGTGTGGGTGATCATCGGCACCCAACTGTATCGATGCTCTGTTCACTCCGTTCGCCACGTGACAGAGTCAGAGCGGTTTCAATTTGAAGTCAGCGGCGAGGAGAACTACACCAAGTGGAAGACGCTGGCGGACATTCTTCCTCGAAGAGAATACCAAGATGTCGCTGATGAAGAACCAGACGAACATGAGCGAGAAGTTCCCGATCTACCGAAGGAACCGGACAGTACGACCACCGTGGTGGCTCCTGTTCGACGGCTACGTCAAAAGACATCCTTCAGGCCTGGCGAATGGACCGAACATCCTGTACGAGATCGACTACAAGACGAAGTGGAGGATGTCAACGACTATGGTCCGAGCACCAGTGGTTTGAACGATGTGGAAGTATCAGAAGGATCTGGACAAGGCCGAAGTGATGCTCCAGTGCCTGAACCACCACAAGCCAAACGAGCCAAGGTAGCAGGTGCGGATGATCCGCAGCGATCGACCACTGCACCAGAAGCTTCCTGGGTCGAAGCACTTCATGTGGAAGCGGCAATGGAAAAGCAGGAGATGGACATCTTCACGGCCTTCAACGAAACGTTCGAGTTCCTGAAAATCGAGTTCGAAGTCCCACCTGTTACAAGCCATCGACAAGCAAAGCTGCTGGAGCGCAACCCAGTAGCGTACCTGGTCAAGAAGATGCGGGACTCGGAGGTGGTGCTGTCAAGAATTTCGCCTGATGAACGTCGCCTCTTTGAACGGGCGAAAACAAAGGAGGTGGACTCCTTTCTCTCGAATGAGGCGGTGCGGAAATGCCTATCGAGTCAAGAAGTTCGTGAAGCCTATGACAGCAACCGCATCGTTAAGGCCCGATGGGTGCTGACGTGGAAACTGGTGCCACCGGAAGACAGGGAAGCAGCAAAAGCCGATGCTGTGGAGAACCCCAAAACCCTGCACAATCGAGACGGCTCTCGAAAGGCGAAGGCGCGTATCGTGCTTCTTGGATTTCAGCATCCGAGCTTGCTGGACAGGAACTTCAAGACGGCAGCCCCTGTGCAATCCACCATTGGCAGAAACTTGCTGTATCAGATGTCGGTGCAACATCAGTGGGAGATTGAGGGTCTGGACCTGGCGACGGCATTCCTTCAGACGCAGCCAACGGAAGCAGATGAGCGGTTGTGGACGACTGGAGTGGAGGAGTTGAGAACGGCCTTGAATATCGGCTCCGAGGGGATCATGCGAATCCTTCGAAACATCTATGGGTCAACGACGGCACCCAGGGGTCTTTGGCTGGACCTCCACAAGAAGTTGACGGCCTTGGATGCGATTCCGGTCATGGCAGAACGATGCCTGTGGATCTGGCTATCAAAGGAGCGAAAAGATCGTGATCTTCCTTTGGTAATTGGCGCTATGGGTGGACATGTTGATGACTTTCATCGACTTGGAGATGGTTCACCTGAATGGCTGGAGATCAAGAAGAAGATCGACACGGCATATCGCTGGGGAATGGCCAAGAAGGGAAATTACCGTCATGCTGGAACGGACGTGGCAACCGTATGGCAGCCCAACGGAGAGTTTGCTATCGAGGTGGATCAGTCCTACTACGTGGAGGGAATCCCCGACCTGGCAATACCACCTGAGCGACTTCGAGACAATGGACCTCTACGTGCGCAAGAAGTTGGTGCTTGCAGAACAACGCTTGGAGCGCTACAATGGCTGGCCATTCAAACACAACCCCAATTATGTGCCAGATGCAACATCCTCTTGACAGAGATTGTCGTCGAAGGAAACCTGGCTCATGCTCGAGAAATACAAGAAATGCTGGGCGAGATTCGGAGGCACTGCGTGAAGCTTCGCTTCTTCAAAATATCCACAGCAAAACATTGGACAGAACTGGTTGTGATATCCATGGGGGATCAAGCACACACCAATCGACCTCGTGGAGATTCGACTGGAGGAATGGTGACGATGATTGCCGGCCCAGAATCTCTACTGGGAAAAGTCTGTCCTATGACATTGGTGGCATGGCGAACGTGGAAGCTACAACGTAAGTCCATAAGCTCCAACGACGCGGAGGTGCAAAGCATCCTGGAGGCCGAGGACCAGAATTTCCGAGTCAGGCTGGTGTGGACAGAACTACATGGCGCTTCTCGACGAGGTGATCCACGGGAAAATCTGGTGTTCGTGGCAGAGCAACAGATTCTCCAAGTACGAGGAGTACTCTGCACGGATTCTCGTGGTGGATATGATGCTGTGGAAGTGAATGAGAGCCCCCTCTTGGGACTTTCAAACCTTCGAGCAGCATTACAAGCCTTCCAGTTGAGGGAGAACCTCAGAAGAGTTCGGTGTGAGCTCAGATGGGTGGCCAGCGACTACGACCTTGCCGACGGCCTCACCAAGAAGAAGAGTGATGCCCGCAATGGACTCATGAAGTATCTCGAGACCTGGTTGTGGTCGATCGCGTTCGACAAGAACTTCGTCAGTGCCAAGAAGTCGAAGCAACAAGGGAGCACTGCGATTGGCAAGGTGGACGACTACCTGAATGCCCAGTCCAACGCCACATGTGTACAGATGCCATCGCTGAACGAGTTTTGTGGTGGTGCAGAGATTCATGTCATCGATGGCATGCCTATGTACAGTGATGAACCACCCAGCTTGTAAATCCCGCTACATATGGGCCCGAGGACTAAGGGGCCCCTTTTCCTTGTGTGATAGCCATAGGCTGCAGCACGGAGCACTGAGCTCCCTGGAAAACCGGTGCGCTGTGCACCCCGTGAGCCCAGAGTCATCACAATCACGCTACCCTCGCTTTACCCGCTGCACAATACCACATTTCAAAGCAAAGATTCGTTCTATTCACTTCGACATGCCGGTGACCGGCCATGCACTGTGTTTCCAAGAGTGTTCGATTTCAGAAGCAGGGCCAGCGGGAAGCAACCCCCAGCCAGGGTGGGCCCTTGCAATATGTTTAGCTTGCTGTATACCTTGAGAATGGGATCCTCAAAGAACTGAACACTGACAAGATTCGGACGAAACCACGAAGCTCTTGATTTGAAGCTGACAGAGCTGGCTACGAACCTAATGTCCCCAAATTTCTGAGCTGGAACCAAGGGGCCGAAAGCCTCTCGCGTTACGCGTTTCACAAGGTACCCAAATGACTTGAACCGTATGCCCTGGCACAGCTCTGTGCCCAGAATGGACGACCTGTACAAATCAAACGTGACTTGCCTAGGCAAATCAGGATTGCATTGCAAGGTTGCAGTGTCCTGGGCTTTCTGTAGACGATCCTCGAGTTCTTCCCGCTTGCGTCGCTCTTCCTGCATTGGGTTCCACATGGTTCCACTTAACAACCCCGACCCCTCCTGTCAAATTCCCCGAGTCCCGGCCTCCAGCTCTGCGCTGAGCCTCCGGAAGGCTTCGCCATCAACCTGGGAGTCTCTGCAAGCATCTGCAAGCATCTGCAAGCATCTGCAAGCATCTGCAAGCTCCGTTCCTCGGGTCCTGGACTTGAAGGTGCCATCTTGCAAAAAGAAAAGCTTGTGTAAAGTCTAAGCTGCCCGTTCCCAGACCTTCGTCGTTGAGCGCACCCTTTTTTTCGAGCCGGAGCTCAGGTATCGCCGCTCTGACTGCTCTCTGTCTCTCAATCTGTCACTCACACGTCTCCAAGCCTCTCCTCTCAGCCCGCGGCCGCCGGCTTGGTCCCGGCGCTACTTGGAGCCTTGGCACGTACCCGGCCTACCACAATTTGATTAGAGGAGAGGAGGGCGAGAAGATGCCGCGGGTCTGCCAACGTCTGCCTTGCTGGGGCGGCCACCGGGCCCTTCTGCTTCTTTAGGGCCGCGATCTCCTTCTGGGCCTCTTCGCGGAGAGCGTCAAACAGAGAAAACAGATCTGAGGGCAAAAAGGTGCAGTATGGTGCAGCTGTGCAGGCCTCCTTCAGCCGGCTCTCGAGGTCCTCGATCCGCTTCCTAGCCTGAGAGTAGAGCATGACTCCGGTTTGAGATGGTTTGAAGGGTTTCACAAAATTTGACTAGTAGAGCCGAGGCGAGCCGAGAGCATGCCCGAGCAAGATTGCGCACGACTCTCAGGTCCGCGCAGCTTGCAGCTCGGCATCTCAGCATAAAGAGGCAACAATCTGGGGAGACAAAGCCATCACTACCGTGGGCCCCGAGCCTCCCGAAATCGCGCAAAGACTCAAGCAAAGAAACATGTAACAACAAAAGCAACGACCTCTGGGAGAAAATGGCGCAGTCTTAGTCATAGTCGATAGAGTGGAAAGAGCGAGAGTTCTAGCAAGTCTCTGTGTGATGAAGTAGTCTGGGCGGAGGCACTGAGCCGATCCGAGGCAGCGCCGGAATCCGAGGCCTGCCTGGGCGGGGAGTCGGGGGGGCTCTCCTCTCGCTCTCCAAACTCCGTTCAACCTCCGAAAGATTCCAGGCTTCTCCATCCCTCTCCTCCACGTGTCTCACCACCCCCGGTCAGGAAACTGCTCCGAGACTACTCTGACTACTCGCCACCGTGCACCGTGGCCGCACTTTCGGGCCGCGGCTGCAGCTGCATCTTCAACCTCAGCTCGGAAAAGGGGAGGATCCGGAGAGGATCCGGGGAGGATCCGCCAGATCTGCTCGAGGCTGCGCGGGGCTGCTCGTCTTGATTCTCTGGGGCTTCCGCTGCGCGATCATCTCCTCCAGCTTCGCTCGCTGCTCCTCGCCTCGCATGCATCAATAGCAGCTCCGATCCGGACTTTCCGACTTTCCGCCTCAACTTGGCCTCAACATAGAAACCGTGTGCCCGGCTCATCTTGAGCTGCTGCTTCAGCTTCAGGATCTCCTCCTGGCGCAGTGATTGGAGACGGGTCCCAAGACATCAACAGCTTACCATGCCGGTTTGCCGGTTTGCCGGTTTGCCGGGGCTCCTCCGATCCGTCACTGCCCGGGGCCGCCAGGGAGTTTCTGTAGGCGTCCTTGACCTGCACCAAGCAGAGAGCAGTAGAGGAGCAGTACAGTAGAAGAGCAGTGGAAAATATGTAGAAGAGCAATAGCCAAAGGGCACGGAAGGCCTCCTTGCGGAGCTGCTCCAGGGACTTCTCCATGGCGGCCATGCGATCGGCCGCCTGAGCAGGGCACCCTGTCTCTTTCGATCTCAACATCTTTTCTGCTGCTCAGCACCTCCCCATTCTTTTCCCCCCCACCCCTTGTGAATATCTCCTTCCTGTTTCCTTTCCCTTTCCTCTGCCTGGCGTGCTTGCGCGCCTCGGCGGCGGCCGCCTCCAGCTCCCGGCACCGCGCCTCTGCAGCCTCCTGCAGCGCGCGCGCCTTGCGCAGCGCCTCCTCAGACAAGAGAAACAGTGCGGAAGGTATGGGGTATGGGGAGAAGCTGTAACAAGGAACAAAAGAGATGGGAAAAGCGGAGTCTGAGCTCCAAGAGGAGGCACACCTCAAGCTCGGTGATCTTCTTCCGGAGGCCGATGACCAACCTGCGTCTCGTTCGCGCGCTTCGCCGCTTCGCCGCTTGGCCGCTTGGCCGCTTGGCCGCGCACACGCACGGGGAGCTGAGGGTGGCTGAACTGAACATCAGCTGAGGCTGCAGCTCGCTCTCCTCCTCGTTCTTTTGAAACTCCTTATGGCTTCACACAGCACCCAAGTGGGACTGCGCTGTGTGCTATTGGCCAAAAAATGCTAAAACCTGGAAAGCCCCATAGGGGGAGCCCGAGTCGGGGCCGTGGCAGAGAGATCGACTGCCGAACCTTTCGCATTGGCGATGGCGATGGCAAGCTTGATCCTCACGATCTCCTGGCTTTCACAGGACACGCCGTAACACCGCAACGTAGAGCCGGAACAGTGGACATAGTGGACATTTGAATCCTTGAAATATTCGCGCTTGTCATGGTCCGAAAACCTGGGTTGGGAGGCGGCGCGCGAGACACGAGACCCGACACAAGGCACTCATTCCTGACCTGCTCTTGCCTTGGGGCTGCGCCAGAAGTCGGGCCACCACAGTACTTTCTTGTAGGTGCCATCCTGCAGGAATTGTTTCAAGGGCTGAAAGGGGCAAACGTCTGCCACAAAGTGGGGCACGGTCCAGGGCAATTTCCAGAGCTACCCGGACCATGGCCTGAGTAGCTGGGTGATGCGTTTCGTCATGCTTCGTCGTCTTGTGTTGTGAAGATAAACCTGCGGTTGCCTCGTTGCTGTGCTCGAGCAGAAGCCACACTGACTGGCACAGGAAGCTGTGGTAATATGTGGTAATGACAAGGATCGCTACGTACTGCTATCTGCTATCAGCGGCCGACGAGATCGGCGCTGCAGCAGGCCATTGAGGGCATGCACGCTGAAAGCACGGACAAGCCGTGTGAGTTGAGATCTGGTGCCCTCATGATGCCTTCGCCACTTCCATGACCCTGTGCAGGTCAGTGACCTGGGAGGCGGAGGCAGTGTCCCTTCGCGTTCGCGCGGCGCTCAGGTTTGGTGTTTTCCGGAGTCCAACGTGATGGTAAACTTAAGTGGTCTTCTCATACTCGGGGCTGCAAAGACGAACAGCGTAGCATATTGCAACAGCTTGTAACAAAACACATGGCCTCATTCTCCATAAGTCTTCGTCTTCGCGAAATGGGGGGGAGCGTGCTGAGTGGAAATTTCCACCTTTCAATGGTGCTAAGCAGAAACAACCTTCGCTTCTTCGGGCAAATCGGGGGAATCAGACCCTCCATCGCTGTCATCAAACCCCCTTATCATCACCGCAATATCGCGAGGGCCATTGGTGGTCGCCGTCCTCCCGCATTGCGACACTCCACATCACAAGCTGATTCTAACTGACCCAGTGGCTCAGAAATCCCAATCTCTTGGTCTGCACTGCTTCCGCACGCGGGTACCTATGGCTACCTTCCTGTGCCCCAGGACCCGGGGGTTGCCCGAACAGTTCCAAACACCCACAACACTTCGAGGCACGTGCGGTGACCACATGCGAACACATGCGACGCTTGCACTCGAACTGACACCGACCTGCTGGTTCCAGAGCAGCTCGTCGAAGGCCTTCGCAACAAAACAGGCGAGCTCTCACGAAAAAGAGAAGACGGCAGAGATGCGCTGGCGAACGAAGAAAACGCACCAGCGAAGACCCCAAACAATTCAGAGTGGAATGGCGTGCTCAGAGACTGCAGCGCATAGTGGCTTTACCCCACAAGAAAGGAGCCCTAGACTTCAAACGTATCAAAACAGACGGGAATGTCAAACGTATCCAAATATACGGGAATGTCAAAGGCTGCTCTTGGAACAGATATGTTCACCCATGCTAACGGAGAGAGTTGGAAGTCAAGCAATGTTCCGATTTGGCCAGTATATCATCGACATATACAGTGACAGCAACCTCGCGAAATCACAAGTGCTGCCCTTCTGGCCGGAACAACTTGGATCAGTCGTGAGAGGTCAGGCAATCATGGCCAATTTCGGCTATGGTCAGAAAATCACAAGCATATACATGACAGGAACTTCGTGAACAATTCCGTGCTTGAATGGTGGATGTATGAAGTGCTACCTAAAAGTCGTACATCTTGGGGAGCAGCGGCAAGCCCATACACAGTGCCATTATTGGAAGCGTGCTCGATGATCACTCAGGTACCCGCGATCACCTTTATGCACTGTTTGCACTAGCGATGAAAGACTTGTAGTTTTTTTGGCCTCCTTCCCTTCCACCTCTGATTTTCTGCTAAGAGAAGTCGTAGCCTTTCAAAACAGCTTAGCTGGGCCAACATCCAGAATGCCATAACTAGATTAACTAGATGATGGGCGGAGGCCAAGCAGCCAGGAACCCGGCCAAGGCACACATAAGGCAACATGAAAGGAGACATGGGAGACACGGGAGACAAGCGGAGACAAGCGGAGACAGGCGGAGACAAGCAGAGACAAGCCCCCCCCCCCCCCCCCGCGGCCACCCACATTAAAGGAGACAAGCAGGAGAGACAAGCAGACCAGGGACGCGGCCGGAGCATCAGGCTAGGTCGGTAATTTGAGCAAGAACCAGGATAAGCAGGAACCCCTGAAACCCCTACACTAAACGTCAAGGATTCGCGGAAAGGCAGTTCGGCATCGGAAAGCGCCTCCTCGCTGTGACCGTCTTGCTCGCCTTGGCCGCCTTGGCGCCGATCTCGGTCCATTTCCGCCCTTAGCGAAGGGAACCCTCAGGGAACCCTCAGCTGCTGCGAGCTCTCAGCTGCGAGCTCAACCGAGCTCTTTTGAGCTCTCTGAAGTGCCAAGGTGCTTGATGCGCTCGGCCGCGGTCAACCCCGACCTGGAGAGCGCTCAAAAGAGCAAAAAAAGGAAAGCCCAAGAATAGACTTCAAATGAAACAGAAGACCTCACCAAAGGAATCACGAGGCCTGTCGGTGTCTCCCGCCCCCCCGCTCCCTCCCCCCCAGGACACAAAGCGGACTTAAGCTCTGCGCGGCCACGTCTTCGGAGCCACGTCGCGTGCGGCCATCACCTGCAGAGACGGCGCAGCGAAGAAGAAAAAAGAGTGAGAGAGAGAGAGAGAGCGCGAGAGAGCACGAGAGAGAGAGCGCAGCTGACGGAGCGGCTGAGAGGCGCGCTCGCTGAGTGTGAGATCTGGATGCCCTGCCGGGCCCCCTTCAGGGGCAGCCGAACATCCTACAATTTGGAGGGCCAGGGGCCCTCCCTGGAGCCAAGCGCCTTCCGAAAAATGGCGCAAACTTGTGCAAACTTCTGGAAACATGTGCAGTTCACAAAGACACCGAGCGAGCCCCCATGCTGCAACCGCCGACCCCTGTCGCTCATGATGGGAGACCACAGATCCAAACCGTGTGACATCGGAGGGCCGCCGGGCGCTTTTTGAGACTTGATTTTGGGGAAAAAAGTCAGACTGCGTAACGTTCGCGTAACATTGGTGGACGCAAACTTGAAGGTGTCCGAATGTACTAGAGGCTTTGGGACAAATGACAGACTTGCTTGGCCAACATCCTTCTTCGATCAATGCCTGATACGATTTTGGTTTTGTTCTTCCCAGATGGCCTGAGTTTCGCAAAGGCTCGTTTTGTTTGAGATCGGGCTCTCGCCACCTCATTCTTTGCTTTTTCCGCGTATGGTTTGGGGCCTGAACGGTTGCACTGGTGCAACTTAAGGGTTGCGGGGAGTGGTTAGGAAGTTCAGAGTTTGCGGTAGAAGGCTTTAGGTAGCCGGTTATGTGAAAAATGACCTCAACGCTGACAACCGTAGACTTTCTGAAATCGCCATGGACATACAATCATCGTGCGGGCATGCATGATCTGAAAGCGCCCGTGGTTACCGACGCTTTCGGCACGGGACACGGAAAGAAAAAAACCGCAAATGACGAGGCCGGCATCTCCATGTAAAATAACTGCAGCGCACTGCCTTTCACAACAGATTCTTCCACACCTCGACAATCCAAGCAGACAAAAGCTCCACCAGGGTTGCGCAAGCGGAAACAGAGGAAAGTGCCAACCGTTACTCACCCACCTGCATCCTTTTGAGTCATCCCCTCCATCGAGACCGGTGAGACAAGAAGATCTACACAATGTCTTTGTACACAACGGCAAGCTCTCTGCGCCCACTTCTGGGTTTCTGTAGACCATTGCTGAAATCCACACAGCTGGAAAACGGATTGTGAGCCAAAAGGCTTGCCGTTGCTGCTGGTCACACTTGTTGTGTGACAGCTGGGTCCCCATGAAAGTACCCTGAACGCCCTGCGCTAGCGGCTGGCGTCGCTCGCCACCTCTGCCAGCCCTGCGATCATGCTCGATCTGCATCACCAGTAGGGGCGTGTGGACCTGGGTCATCTGGCCTTGACACAGCACACAGCAAGGCTTGCGCAAGTTGATACCGACATTGGGCGGGCATATGCCAGCTCAGCCCAGAGGATCGCAAGTCCGCACAAGTGCATACATCGCCTGGATAAGTGGCCGAAGGTTGGCGAAGAGCTCGAAAAGCTGAAGCTCCTGCGAAGACCGTGTGGAAACTGCCAGAGCAAGTATGGAGCGAATCGCTTGCTCACCTCATCACAGCCTTGGCACAAGCGCTCATCGGCCTGGAGGTGCCATGATCTCATAACTGCATGCCGCAGTTTGCATATCTAATGAGCTGATCGTGTGTCTCGAGGTTGTGTCAACAGGCGCACCTGCGAGAGGAGTGCGGCACACCTGGCCTTGCTGCTGTCCGGCAGCGTCACATCCTGAAAAGCTGAAACGACACGGAAAGGGCTGAAAGCGCCCTCCCCCTCCCCACCCTCCCTCGCAAAAAGGGACCCCCTTGGCACGGCGTTTCTACTGTTTTGGTCTCTCATGTTAGAGAATATGCACGCAACCAAGTATGTATACATACACCAAGTATGTACACATATATACATACATACATACATACATACATACATACATACATACATACATACATACATACATACATACATACATACATACATACATACATACATACATACATACATACATACATACATACATACATACATACATACATACATACATACTACATACATACATACATACATACATACATACATACATACATATACCATACATACATACACACATACACAGACACATCACATACAACACCATACACATACACACATACACATACACATACACATACACATACACACACATACACATACCATACACATACACATACACATACACATACACATACACATACACATACATACACATACATACATACATAAATCAGATAAACATATATATATACATACATATAGATTTTTAGACACACCCCCCCCCCCCCCCCATGACCCAGACCTGTTTCCCTCGTAAATACCGTTCATCACCCGCTCGTGCCCTGTGCCGTTTTTTGCTGCTCACAGTGGGCAGTATCTCGACAAAACAAACCCCACACGGACCACAGGACTGGACGCCGACACGGGCGATACCAAAAAACCAAAAAAAACAACTTTTCGAGAGAATGAGGGGGGTGTTGAAAAAGATTGTTTTCCGCCGACCCCAGCGGTAGCAGGGCGGCGTCAGTGAAGACCCCCCACCGCCCTCACCGCCCTCACCCGCTCTCACAGCATGCTGCTCATGACACCTTGAATTGGAGTGTTTTTGCATTGTTTGGCTTCAGTGCATGCCCAAACCCCGCCACCCATCGCCCTCACCCATGACGCCTTGAATTGGACCTTTGACCCCCCCCCACCCCATCCATTCAGCTCACCTCCGCCCCTGACCAATCTCTAGTGTTTTAAGATTCCAGTGCACGCCCGGCCTGACCGCTCTCACGCACCACCCCCTCCCCCCCCCCCCCCCCCCATCCCTCGCCCCTGACCCACCCCCCACACCCCCCCCCCACCCCCACCCCCCCCCCCCCCCCACACCCCCCCCCCCCACCACCCACCCCCCCCCCCCCACCCCCCCACCCCCCCCCGCCACCTTAGTGTTTTAAGGATTCCAGTCCATGCCCGCCGCCCACCCTCACCGCTCTCACCGCTCTCATCACTCCCCCACCCGCCGCCTCGACTCTGAAACCCCACCCCCCCCCACCCCCCCCATCCCTTCCCTCCTAGGCCCCTACCCCCTACTCCGCCTGACAAATCTCAGTTCGAGGGATTCCAATCCGCCTCCCTGCCCACCCCCAACTCCACCAACCCTCGACCGTCACCTCCCCTGTCCACCCGCCGCGCTCCACCCTGCCTTCCGCCCCAACCCTCTCACCAGAGCTGGTCAAATGAGTCAGGCCCCTTTCCGCCAGCCACCCCCACCCTCTCCCACCCCCACTCCCTAACCCTCCCACCAACCCTCCCCGGCCCTCGTCGTTACCCCCTCCCACCATCGTGCACCATCCGACCGCCCCCCCACTCTCACCGCTCTCATCGCTTCTTCATCTCCATGCCCCCCAGTCCACCCCTGCCTTCCGCCCCCAACTCCCTAATCCGACACCAACCCTCTACCGTCACCCACACCCCCCACCCCCGCCGCCCCCCTTTCCACCCCCACCCACCCCCACCCCCCCGCCCCCGCCCCCCCCGCCTGCCCGCGCTCCACCCTGCCTTCCGCCCCAATGCGACTGTCTTGGGTCTGGGGTCGGCGGCACTGGCGGTAGCCATTATTTGGTTTTGCCTCGTAAACAGATTGTTTTTCATAGAAAAACCAACTTTTCCCTCGTAAAAAGATGGTTTTGGCCTGGTCTGCCTGAGGAAAACCATCTTTTTGCGTGGTAAAAGTTGGTGATTGTCTCCGAAACTATCTTTTACGAGGCAACACCAAAAAACAAAAAAAACACCTTTTTGAGAACGAGGGGGCATGTTAAAAAAGATGGTTTTTTGGTTTTGCCTCGTAAAAAGATTGTTTTTTCATACAAATAGCCAACTTTTGCCGTCGTAAAAAGATGGTTTTGGCCTCTTCGGTCTTTCATAGAAAACCAACTTTTACCTCGTAAAAAGATGGTGTTGGCTTGGTCTTCCGGGGGAAAATCGTCTTTTTGCTAGGTAGAAGCTGGTTTTTGTCTCCAAAACCATCTTTTGTCGAGGTAAAACCAAAAAACCATCTTTTTCAAGATCCCCCCGATGCTCTCAAAAAGTTGGTTTATTTGTTTTTTTGGTTTTGCCTCGTCTTTCTCTCGGGCCGGAAGAGTTCACTAAGTGCAGCTGGCCAGCGGACGTTTTCTTTTGAACCAAGGCGTGTCAGCGTGCTTGGAAGCTCTTTCTGTTCAGCGGGAAAAAGTTGGTTTTGGTCTGTCTTATATTAATCTCAATAATAGCATTCCTATTCCTGTTCATGTTAAAGGGTTCGATCAACCATCTTTACAGGACTTCTTTTCAATTTACTTATGTTCTTATGAACTTTCATAGGGTTCTTATTCAATGTCAGAGTCAAAGGATTCCTAATACTTTGTAATAGGGTTCTTATGCATGTCAACAAGAATCTCAATGATTTTAAAGTGGTTCTTAGGGCCCATACTTCTGTTGTAGGATTCCTATTGGTTCTATTCATTTTAGTGAGTCTCCAAGAACTTTTAATGGTATTCTTAGAAATTTGAATAGGAACCACATTAAGTCTAACAGGAAGCCTAGAAGTTTTGAAAAAGAACCACAGATTCCTAGTGGTTCCTATTCATTTTAGTAGGATTCCTCTTCATTTCAAAAGGATTCCTATCACAATTTGTAATAGGGTTCTTGTGAACTTTAGTGGGGTTCCTCATAAATTCCCATTAATGTTATTCCTAACCATCTAGGGTTCTTATTCAACGTAATAGGATTCCAAATTCCGTTTTAATGGGGTTCTTATGAATTTCAACAAGGTTCTCAATCATTTTAGAGTGGTTTCTCTTAATTCCAATAGGGTTCCTCTGAAAGTTAAAATGACTCATACTTTTTTTTGGGATTCCTATTGGTTCCTAGTCGTTTAAGTCAGTCTCAAAGTGATGCTAATGGTATTCTGAACAATTTGAATATCATTCCGTGTCCTATTCATTCTACCAGGAATCACACTACATCTAACAGGAAGCCTAGAAATTCTGAACAAGAACCACATTGATTCTTATAGGTTTCCTATTGGTCCTATTAATTCTAGTAGGGTTCCTCTCTTTATAAGGACCCCTATTAATTTGCAACAGGCTTCATGATGAATTTTACTGGGGTTCAAAATATATTCCTATTAGTGGTAGGACCCTCTTCATGTTAAAAGGATTCCTCTTAATTTGTAGTAGGGTTCTTATGAATTTTAGTGGGGTACCTCATAATTTGATAGTAATTCATCATAACAAGATTCTAGAGAAATATTAATAGGATTCCGATTTAGATTTAATGGAAGTCCTACATTCTCATGAATTTAAAAGGCCACTATTTTTCATGGGTGTCCTTATTATTGTCTTTTACATTTTAATAGTATTCCTATGACGTTTGATAGAGAGTTCCTATGACTTAAATATGATTCTAAGTCATTTTTTCCTATTCGGTCTATAAGATTCCTATTCACTTCAATAAGGGTCTTATAAATTTTAATAGGCTTCGTATTAATTTTCGTAGGGTTTTCCTTCAATTAAAAGGTTTCCTATTAAATTCATACGAATCCTATGAACTTTTGTAACTTTAGTAAGATGATGACGATAAGACTAACAGGGTCGTAGAAATTTCAACGTAATCCACAATCTCGCAGCAAATTGTTCAGGTCACGTCGGTTGGAGCAATCGCTCCAGCAATTGCATTGCCATAGCAGGACCTTTTAAAACTAGTACTCTGATTGAATTAAAGCAATTAAATGAAGTAACAACATTCAACCAATTAAGTTAAACTCACGAAATTCATTAAAATACCATTAAGCAAATTATCTAAATTAATTAAACTAGTCCATGGCCAAACCAAGAGGCTACGTCTGTACTAGCACAAAATCTTACTGTAGTTGCTGAGTTCATAGGCCCTGAAAAAAGTGTACACTTTCAGTTCTATAGGGGTTTGTAGTAGCCCAAAAAGTGTAAAGTGTACTCACTCAGCTACTAAGAAATAAAGATTTCTTACTCCGAGACGGCCTCCCGGTAGGTCATGGGGGGTGGGGGGTGTGAGCTAATTTTATATATATATATATACATATATATAACTATGCAGAAAACCAGAAAGGTGTACATAAATATCCGCCGACCCCTGCGGGGTGGCACCAGTGAAGCCTTTGCTTTCTCCATTCAGTAAAGCTTTTACACACTGAAAGCAATCACACCCCCCTGAGAATCAAAACTTTCCAGCTATGCGTTATCGAATATATTGATTGGGATACCACCCCACCCCAACCCCCGCCCCGACTAATAAGCAGCGCAGAGCCTGACATGTTGTCTTGGCTTTCGGGAACATAAAGAAAAAGTCGATTGATGAACTGACTATCAATAGTATAGCTACCTTCGCCAGCTAAATAGTATAACTGGTATAGCAGCCAAAACAACAGGTTAACTGGACACAATGAATTTATGGAACACAACAAGTTGTATGAATAACATTGATTGTATGCACGATATTAAGTACAATACTCCATGGCCTTGATGTAGCAGTTACGACAATTTTGTTGTGCATACTCAATAGTCAACGGTATTGTTTTCTTTAGTTCTAATTGTTCTACCACTGATGAGTCAAACTACTGCTATGACTCCTTTAATGACATTCATTCCATTAGCTATATTAATTGTAACAAGTGTATTAGTGTATTAGTTTTGTTATGTCTATTTGTACCGGCTATGTGAAGGTCATTTTGTTCGATCCAAAAAACGTGGCTCAGGAGCTGGAAGGGGGCCGTGCCTCTGCGACGAGCTGCAGCAACTGCTCCATGACCTGACTTCGCGCGGACACATACACACAGAGACACACGAAGCCGCAGTGTCAGAAAATCTCCGGAGAGACACGGCACTGCGAATCCGACAACCCCACACACGGCCGACAATCCCGGAGATGGCTACAATGGCTACAGATACTCGGCAAGTGCTTGAAAACACACACACACACACACACACACACATGCCCGGTTTTGTGCTCTTTGCAAGAGATCCTTAGCCATTCGACTCTACAGTCTACAGTGGCCCTGTGTCAACTTCATGCTCAGCTCGACTCCTGCAAGCCGGAGAAGCCCTCCAGGAGGAAATCGCGGACCGCTCCGAGCACCTCTCTTAGGGAAGGGGAGAACGTGAGGGGGGGGGGGGGGGACAAACTTTGCGGAATGGAAACACGAGTAACACGACTGGAAACGAGCCCTTTCCATCCTTCAGAGCAGTCAGAGGGAACACGTCAGAGTGTAACAAGAGCACCGAGCCGGTTTTTGACCACTCACCTCCCCCTTTCGAATCCCTCGTCTGCCGGGTTTTGCTTCGTTGTGCTCGGCCGAGCAAAGTGCCGTTTGCCCACGCCACGAGGCCCCTGAGGCCCCGTGGCCACTTGTCGTGCATAGTTCGGAAGTGGCCGAAGTTAGGGATGGGATAGGGTCTAGGGGATCGGCGAAGCTGGAAACGCCACGGGTATTGAAGTACGGCTCAGCATTGCTGACCTCCACGGTTGGCTCCCTGTTTGGCTGTTGTAGCTGTCAGCTCCGCGACCGGAATACAAACCTCCCCCACCACCCCCGAATCAGCTTTCAGTTCTTGCCATTGTGAGGAATGAACTGAATCCGTCCCACTACTATAGGGTCCTCTCGACGCACTTCACTGCCGCTGAACTGGAGCGAACTGGAGTGTTGAAGCTTTCAGCAGTCTTCCGAAGTCTTCTGAAGAATGTTGAAGTCTGTGTGGAAAACGTGCACCTGGTCCGTGGTCTGGGCGGAACGCACCCGCGCCAGCAGCCCCCGCGTCTGCGACTCGGGCACTGCGCAGAACACCTGCACGCTCCGCGGTGGAGAGCCACAAAAAACAAAGCAAGGAGAGGCAGAGAGGAGACAGAAAATCAAAACACAAAAAAAAAAAAAAGGAAAGGATGAAGAGAGGGGAACCGAAAGACGGACAGTTCGAAACCGTTCTCTCGCCTTGCCTCGACCAAAGAGTCTTCATCCACCTCTCCCGCAAGGCATAGCAGCAAACGGCATTGGGTTGAAGAGATTCTACTGAGACTCTCAACTCCGACACTGCTGAAGATTCTCCGGCTCTCCCCTCCCCTTCTCGATCCCGAGTGCTCGCTCCTCCCTTCTTTTGATGCTCTTTGTCCTTTTTTCTGCAGGGCGCAGAGGCGCCGGAGGCACCTTGTCGTAGACGTGGACCGCTGTCTGCAGCATTGTCACGGCACAGCGCATGTCGCCCTGAGATTGGGAAGATTTGTAGGGTTGGGCCCGCATGGGCCACACCTCTTTTTGCTCAGGAGCGCAGCAAGTGCTCCGTAGCGCCGTAGCGACGACCTTTCAACGGGATCCGACCCGCCTTGGAAAGGAAGATCAACTGCTCCAGAGCGCCTGGGCTCATCGTCACCTTCTCCTGGCGAAGCCACACCGAGTACCGAATCCGACAACCCGAAAATACGCAGCCCACTGCTCTCCAAACTCCAAACAGAACAGTTCGAAATCTCTCTCGCTTTTTTGTCCTTCTCGCAGATGTGGAGCAGCCGCGACTTTTGGAACTCGGCACCTCGCAGAGCATCAGAACACAAGTGGCGTGCAAGACTCTAAAGACTGAGGCTCCAGCCGACGAGCTGGAACCGGAATTTGGAACAACGAGAATGCAGCGGCCTCCACCAAGTCTTAAGCCAATTCTTGCGCAGCAGAATTCCAGGCTCGACCAGCTCTTGGGGGTCACACTCGATGATCTTGGACACGTAATTGCAGATGATGATGAAGCGCGTGACATGCACGAACTCCTGTCTCACTGTGCAAACAAAACGGAACGAGTCCAGATGAGACTGCGGCACCTCCATGATCCGCCGCAATGCTGCCTGGGCATCGTGCCTGGTCAAATGCAGCACTTAGCGGAACTGAGCAGGGTTAGCAGGGATAGCAAGGCTTAGAAGAACCTGACGATCTTTTCATCAGAGTTTGCAGCTCTCCGCCGTTTGGAACAAAAGGGTTCTGGTCTCCAAACAACACTCTCCCACCCTTCCCAGGCCATTGCGCGGAAAAACAAGGTGGAGCAAGAGAGAGAGAGAGAGAGGATGAGAATGAGAATGAGAATGAGAATGAGAATGAGAATGAGAATCAGAATGAGAATGAGAATGAGAATGAGAATGAGAATGAGAATGAGAATGAGAAAGAGAAAGAGAGAGAGGGAAGAAAGAAAGAAAGAAAGAAACCAAGAAGCCAAGAAACCAAGAAACAAAGAAACAAAGAAACAAAGAAACAAAGAAACAAAGAAACAAAGAAACAAAGAAACAAAGAAACAAAGAAACAAAGAAACAAAGAAACAAAGAAACAAAGAAACAAAGAAACAAAGAAACAAAGAAACAAAGAAACAAAGAAACGAAGAAACGAAGAAACGAAGAAACGAAGAAACGAAGAAACGAAGAAACGAAGAAACGAAGAAACGAAGAAACGAAGAAACGAAGAAACGAAGAAACGAAGAAACGAAGAAACGAAGAAACGAAGAAACGAAGAAACGAAGAAACGAAGAAACGAAGAAACGAAGGAACGAAGGAACGAAGGAACGAAGGAACGAAGGAACGAAGGAACGAAGGAACGAAGGAACGAAGGAACGAAGGAACGAAGGAACGAAGAAACGAAGAAACGAAGAAACGAAGAAACGAAGAAACAAAGAAACAAAGAAACAAAGAAACAAAGAAACAAAGAAACAAAGAAACAAAGAAACAAAGAAACAAAGAAACAAAAGAGAAAGAAGAAGGAGGAGGAGGAGGAGGAGCAGCAAGAGAAGAGAGAGAGGAGAGAGAAGAGAGGAGAGAGAGGACGAAGAGGTTTCTGGGTTTGAGTGCGGGCTCGCGCTTCAGGCCGGCCGAAGATCATATAAGCACTGACATGTGCACCGAAGGTTTTGCACAGCCTGTCGTGCTGACACTGCAAGCCTTTAGGCTAATCAAAGCAAACAAGGTCTCAGGGGCTCCTCCACCAAGCCTGTACGTCCCCAAGGCACTTACGCTGCGGGTTCAAAGCTTCGGGCCTACAGGCCGGTTGCTCTCCGACCTACTTGTCGAGGGTACGCCCATGTTGGCTCGCCAAACAAGTGATACCGATCGCGAGTTCCGCCTGAAAACTGAAGCCTGAGGCTCGCGAGTTCGCGCTGCCCCTGAAGCCTGAAGCCTGAAGCCTGAAGCCCGAAGCCTGAAGCCTGAAGCCTGAAGCTCGTGCGTGTCGTGTTTCAAGAGTGCAGCTCACCAGCTTCGCACTTCACTTGAAGCTCGTGAGCTTCGCGCTTCGCGCTGCGAAGATGAAGCTCGCGAAATTCGCGGTTCGTGTGATACGTGAAGTCTGAAGGTCGCAAGCTTCGCACTTCACCTGAAAACTGTAATCTGAACTTCAAGCTTCGCCTTTTGCTGAAGGAAAGCTGGGGCGCAACCCACTTCCCGACCGCGTGGACTGGAAACTCCGGTGCGCCACTTGGACTGCTGGCGTGCACGGGACGGGCCGGCTGCCGAAGCGATGCACGCATTCTTGAAGGTTCCAACAGTTCCCTGCCAAGCAAGTTTCCCTTCAGCAGGGCAAAACAGAACCTCTGAACTCTGCCGGGTCTGAACTCTGCCGGGTCAGGTTGTTTGAGGGGGTTTTGAACCTAACATGAGCAATCTCGACTGCAACAAGTGAATTAGAATTAGAATAGACATGGAAGTGCGAAAGAAAATAAGCAAAATGAGCAAAAAATCAAGAATTCGCCTCGGCTTCCTGCCGAGAAGCGTCTGGAACAAGCAGACCCGGATCGGGCCTCCTTCGTCCTGACCCAACCCTTCTTCCTATGCGCGATTTTCTGGCGCCACCCCCCCCCCCCGCTGTGGGACCCCCCCCAATCGCTTGGAGGAGCTGCAAACTGGAGGACCTCCAAACCGATGCCGTGGAGGTCCCCCCCGCCCCCCCCCCCCCCCCCCCCACCGCGCCCCCCCCCCACCCCCCCCACCCCCCTCTGCCCTTCCTCTTTGCGAAACCCTCTTTCCTCCTTTCCTGTCCTGGGGCCGGCCCGGCTGCCGAGGCGGCGCGCGCAAGCGTTTACAATTAGATCCACCCGCAGAAGGCAAGAACAAGGAAGCCGATTCATGCTTGCGCCGTGACCTGGCAGGAAACCGATAAGCGGCTCATTTCAAGTGTGGCTGAGTTCGAATTTCGTCAAGTTGCGTCATCGAATCAGCTTCATCCAAGATGATGACCTGTGGTGTACGGGCACTGGGCATCCAATGCAACTCTAACAAGAATTCACATATATCCATAGCCACATCAGGTCTTGAGGACGGCACGCGAAAACGCGCCTTGGACTCGGCAAGGCTCTCGCCACCTCGCAGCAACTACCGACATCATGCAACAGCACATCACTAGCAGCAAGCGCGTGGGCAAAGCCCGGCAAAGCACAACCAAAGCACAACCCAAGCACAACAGGGGCGGGGATGCCAATGGCTAGCTGCGCAAAGGTTTTGACCTGCTCAGAACGTGGAGCAGCTTGGAGCATTGCAGAGGGCAGCGCAACCCTCTCCACCCATTTCCATATTTTCCATTCCCCACCTTCTCCCGGACGGCGTTGATCCCTCGTTCGTCCGACGCGTTGAGCTCCTGATGATTTGCAGGCTCCACAAGGCTCCACCGTACCACTCACAGCAGTCTCCCTCTCTCGGTCTCCATGTTGACTCTCCCGCTCTCTGGTGCTCTGGGGGAAATTGTCTTTCAAAAACCTTGCTCTCCTTCACCCGAGAGCGCCAGTGCTCGGCACCGAAGAACTGCTTCATCAGGGCCAGTGCCTCAGAGGGCAGCGGAGAGACAGCTGTCGGTCTCTGTCTCTTTCTTCAGAGCTCCCTGTCTCTCTCTTGACTTTTTGCTTTCTGAACTGTCAGTTCTCCTCTCTGCTCTCCTTCTCTCCTCTCTCTGGAGTCTTCCCCCCCCCCCCCATTTCTGCCGGGCGGCCACCGTGGTCTTGCCTGTCCCTGGGGGCCCGTAAAACCTGCCACGAAAGGGCACACTCCTCAAGCAAACGCGGTAAACTGGAACCAGGACAGCATCGCATGAGGTTCGGCAGCTCACCTGCAAAGTGCAGTTTGTGCAAAATGCAGTCAGAAGGAACCCTGATGAGAGGACAGCCCTCTGCACCTGTGCACGCACTTCCGACTCGTTCATCCGTGCGCATCACACACACACACACACACACACTCAAAAACCAGCACGCAGCACGTCAAAGTGGTTCCAGCATGTCGATACTCCGAGCCTTCTTGCTTCGGGAACTTACGTCTTTTTGCCCACGCTCTGGAGCTTCTAAGTTCGGAAATGTCCGGAAGTGAGCTACCGAGCATGACCGAGCAGTGCCGAACGCACGCTACACAAAAGCACGCAAGTGCCGCAAGTGCGTCTGATGCGGGTACTGTCAGATGTCTTCCAACTCAAGGACTTGGGCGCGGGTATGTGCCCGGGTATGTGCCCGGGAATGTGCCCGGGTATGTGGCACTTAAGCAGCGCATGTGCGACAATATTGCAGAAGCTACAATTGAAGAATGCTTCGTCAGGGCTCCAACCTGTTTTGGTGCATAGTCCGTACACCTCCGCACAATCTCTCACTCGAGCCGAGGTTGCCTGTCTGGAGGCTGTGCTTCAAGGCAGAGACCACTTCCTCCTGCGACGTCATAGACAAAACTGATGGACCTCAAAGCCGCGAACATCCTGTGTTTGGGGGCCCCGCTCCACGTGGCCCACCACGTGGCCCACCATTCTCTGAACCCCTTCTTTTGGTGTAGACATAGAAGCCCTCAAGTAGTATTGCGGCTCCTGCTGGGCGACTTCCTCGATCCGATCGGGCCGATACTTCTCAACCCAAGGCAAGCCTCAGCTGCCGAGAGAGCGCCCGTGCCCCTCTGTTACACTGCTACACGCTGCTACACATCTCTCCTATTGACACCATGGTAGCAGGTGTCTTATAATGGCAGTGATGCTCCATGGCTTGGTGTTTCGATTGGGCTCAGGGCTCGGGGGTTGAGGCCCAAAGTAAAAATAAGGCCCGGCCTAGCGAATCCTTTCGTGCATGTTCTTTGCTACAGTCTCAGCTCTGACTGGAGACATAGGGCTCGGCCGAGAGCTGACGTGCTGGGACCAAACTTGGACATGCTAAGGCTGCTAATGGTACCCTCAGATTTGGGGCCGAAGCTTCTTCGTCTGAGGGGCCTCTCGGGTACAGGAAGTTGAGAAATTCAGGGTGCGGTGTACCTTCAGCTTGGTCCTGTGAATCCTGGAATCTACGGGTAAGATCAGGAATCCAGGGTGGCATATCAGGGTGGGGATGTTCAATTGAACCTGAGCGCTGAACCCTGAGAGGTTGAGAACCGGAGATGGGGGAACTTGTCGATCGAGGGCTTGATGAGTTGCGTTTTGAGGTTCCGGATTAATCACTAAGACAATTGTACATTGTGTGCCTCCTGGATTCGGAGCCATTGTCAGGCCAAAAAGAAAACAGAAAATGAGGGGCTCATGTTTTGAAACTGAAGAGATCGGGAGCTCATTTTCTGAAGTTAAGCACATGAGCGCTTCATTTTCCTTTTGGGCCTGAGAACTCGATCTGGAAGGACTGGGGGGGGGGGGGGGGCGGGAGCGGTTTGTGTTGGGAATGGTTTTGGGACTGTTTGGGAGGATTTAAACGCGGTTGTCCGGGGCCAATTTCAATCCCAAGAACAATTGAGAACTAGAGGTCTCAATTTAAGAGAATGGGGAGCTTAATTTCTTAAGTGTATATTAAATTCACGCACTTCATTGCATTCGTTTGTAATGACAAAAATATTGCTCTCTTCACTGCAAATCTTAAATTATCGCAGGCCATGATTATATTATGACTGTGTGCCCGCGCTGACAGTACAAATACAGTATAATCAGTGAGGGGAGTGAATAGGTGAACGACTGAGCACAGGAAAGTAGTAAACTTACTGTAACTTCAGGAATTGTTTGGGCGATTATGCGAATAACACTGAAAATGAGCCCCTCGTTTTCTTTTTCCTTTCGGGCCTGAAAATTGGACCCCTTAATTTGCTGATGGGTGGGCCTCCGGGAATTGGAAGTTGGGGCGGTTGGGGGGAAGGTTTTGAATGTTGGGAATGGCTGTGGGACTGTTTGGAGGGTTTGGGCTGGTCAATTAAAAAAGGCAAGTGAGGGGCTTATGTTGATTTTTCAGTCTTCGTCCTGGCGGGGATTCCATACCAGACTTGCCCAAGCTCTCGAAAACAAACACCTGCCTTAAACTGCCTTAAACCTACTTGAGAAATTTGAGTACCCCGAGTGTTGCATTTTCTTTTTGGGCTTCGAGTCCTGCAGGACATCTCCCACTTTGGGAAAGGAGGCTACTGCTGGCGATCCCTTTTTTCTGTTCTCTCAAAGCCCTCAAGAGCACGCTTCCCTCGCGACAGGAGTGCTCGGCTGAGATACTGAGGGTCAAGCCAGACTCCATCTTCTCACGTGTACTCCCGAGCATCTTGGGAAGATGGAGAGGGGTTCAGGGCTCGCCCCTGCCCCTGCGTCAACTTCACCCTAAACCTCTGAGTCTTGAGCAAAAGAGCCGTTGTGCAAAATGCAGGCCGGCGCAACTCAGGTTTCAGGTTGACGCAAGGCACTCTGCGAAGGTAACATTGTCCTAGGGAGCCCATGCCACAATGCAATGATGCAACGCCTCGCCTTTTCGTACGCTGAGCACTTCCGAACCCAGGCTGGGTGAAACGTGTCCAACATCTGCGGGCATCTGCGCACATCACAGGCTCTGCCTGACTCTACAGGAGTGAACGCATCGAGAAGCTGAGCGTCAGCAGCAACACTGGCCATGCGCGGAACACTTCAGCGCTGTTGCAGTCCACCTCACAGGAACCTCGGGCAACAGCGCGAATCCGTTGCCGAATGGAAGAGAGTCAAATATCAACGAAAGCACTCACGAACCATTCTAGTGTTCTCACATTTCTGATAAGCAGAGTAGGACTCGGTCGCACAATGACAGCTGAGGCGCTGTTCGTTCGAGCGTGTATGTCGCTCGCAAAGTGCGAGCACAGATCGTAGGTGTGGTTATTCAAGCAAGAATCCACATAGGAGCCTCTCGAAAGACAGAACATGGTGCACTTCAAACAGTCGCAGTCCGTCTCCTTGGCTCCGGACGTGCACAGATGACAACAACAGGAAAACATTGGCAACATGCAAAACAACATGTAAAACAACATTGAGGGTGAACAAAAAGCGAGATCTCAAGCCATTCTCTCCTGTCATCCTCTCGATTTGCTGCCCAAAACTCCGCCGTTTTCAGCGTACAGGAAGGAGGTCCACAGTGAGACAAGCAGAAGGCGACGTGCTTTCGCACCTGCTGCTAAGACGTCATCAAGTGGAACGACACACTTTCACTGCAACCCGTACAGCAGTCTGCCGCAGTCTGCGTCTCAAAGTCTGTAGAGCTGTGTACTGACGCCTTGTTGTGCTCGAGGCCTGCAGAGATGTTCCCGCGAATTCCTTCGTTGCCCCGACCGCAGCCCTTGAACCTCAGGAGAGCTGAAAGAGAGGCGCTTCAGACATCTTCAGACATCTTCAGACTCTGTCTTTAGACTCTGTCTTTTCTGAAGGTGTAAACTGTGAAGTGGGCACAGAGGCACGGACTGTGTCGCAGTGTTACGTTTTGTGCACAATTCTGTGTGACATCGTGTCAACTCCTGCACTCTAGCAGACTCTAGCACTGGCTCTTGTGCCTACTTTAGAGAGGGCGGAGTGAGAACAACCCTCGAGAACAGTGCAAGCAAGCAGCCAGTTCACGTCGCCTGGCACTTGGCGCCAGTCTGGAACCACCCGCTGCGCGACGGCCGCGACGGCGATCGCCGCGGCGACAGTCAAAAGAATCGGGACACGACCTCTGTGCGCCCAAGGCGCCAGCATCCTGTTTCACCACATGCTGCGGTGAGTCGCTGTGATCCACCAACTGCGGTGTCATTCAGCTGCGCTTAACAAGCTACACTTACGAGCAATGAGCTACAAGCAACATTTCGGATCAGTATTGTTGCAACATTTGTGGCACAAGCACTACAAGCACGCGGTCTGCACGCTTCTCCCTTCACCCATCTTGCTTTTCACTTCGCGTCTGCCGAGTCTTGACTCTCTCCATGTCTCTTCATGATGCTGTGCTCGGCTTTGCAGAGCAAGTAGACATGGCCCAGAAGATTGGAATCCCAGCAAAAGTGATGATGGCCTGTCTGCTCTTTCCATCTCTAAATGCAGGCACAATATCTTCAAACACAATATCTGCACATCGAAACTCACAACTCAAAGCGAGACAAAGCGTGCCATGACGTGAAGCACCATCACAAGAAGTGGCTGAATGCAAAGTCGAGATTCGCCATATGGACTGCCCAGCAATCGATACCACATTACATGGAAGCAGTAGGCATAAAGCGACCAATGTCCCAGCCAAACGGTGACCTTGTTTGGGTCGGAAGGAGCAAAGGCACCTGCCAGGAAGCAGACCACCAGGATCAGCTCCCCGAAGAACATCCGAAATCTCTCCTGGAGTAAACGGAACATCACAAGGCTTCCTAGGGACATCCTCCAAAAGCACCACCACCACCATCACCACCACCACCACCACCACCATCACGACCGACCACGACCACTGCCTACTACGACTACTACGACGACCTGCCACGACCTAGGACGACCTACGACTACCTACAACTACCCTACGACGACGACGACGACGACGACGACGACGACGATGTCTAAATCGACAACTCGCCCGAGATCGCTGCCAGTAATGCCAAGCCCAAGTATCCCAAGTGCTGTACGGGGAGTGCACGTCACAGCGGCCCCACATGTCTGGCATGGAGTCCAGGCAGAGGAACATGAGGAGGAAGGGCCAGTAGGATTGCACCAGAGCCCGGATGCTCGTGCTGCCCCACAAGGGCCACTGAAAGGTCAACATCCCCACGATGTTCAAGCTCACTAAGTGCACGAAGCTGTCCTGATCCCATGGAACTACGACCATTTGCAGGTACGTAAAGGCCAGCAGCACCCAACCCACCAGGCCAGTGTGTTCACGGTGGCAGAGGCTAGCCGCCAAGAGCCCAAGAAAGAGCGTACCACCAACATGAACGAGAATGATCGGGGTGTGCCGCAGAACCGGGGCATAAAGCTTGATCCATCGTGATACCTCTTCATCCTCGAACGTCTGAGTGACAATGTCCGGAGAATCGCCCGTGTAGCCTTTAACAAAGGAGGCCAGTGCCGAAACGGAGACGATTCCCCAAAATATAGTAAAGGCGATGGTGGTTCCTGATACCTTAGAACTTGTCTGCCGCGTCCTCAAAGCCTGCCGCAGTGGTTCGGCCAGGGGGGCCATGATCAAGAGCATGACGACGAAAAACATCTGGAAGATTGTGTTGCCGAAGTCGTGCTGCCAATCACGATGCTTGACCACATCTGCGAACAAGTTCGCAAACACACCCGCAGCAAATACCGCAATGAGCCGAAGGACATAGCCAAAAAGGCTAGACTTCGACATCATCGACGACATGCCGCTAGTAATATACAGATACGGCAAAGCCCACCACAAGCCGAAGCCAACATTTCGATGAGTGTAGGTCTCTCCACCTGAGTCAAGAGGACGTCACCAGCGGCACAAGCAAACAATTGGCTCACACGGGCTGCCTCTATGTAGAATCTACGCCGGTACAGGAAGAACTGAGTCTTGCGGACTTCAATCGTGTTCAACAGATGCTGTTCGTAGATCCTTTTTGGTATGAAGTCTTGTGCATAAAAAGGGGGGGCTTAGGCAGGAGGTCACAGCCCTGTTATTATCTGAGGCATTGTCGAGGCATTCTGCATCGAACACTGCATCACGCCCAATTTCAGAGTAGCCCTGCAGTGACTCTGAGTAGTTTTCGTCGGACTGGGTGGCCTGTATGCATGCAAGGGTTGTTTTGCTTTGTGTTCCTTTGTGCATTGTGTTGCATTGTGTTGCTTTGTGTTGCTTTGTGTTGCTTTGTGTTGCTTTGTGTTGCTTTGTGTTGCTTTGTGCTGTTGTGTTGATGACTTGTCGCCCGCAAAGCAGGCTGCGCTGTGGCCTACTGAAGCTGTAAACTAGTCAGGCACTGGATCGGACTCTAATGCCACTCTAATGCCACTGTCTTCTCAGTCGAGTGTACTCCTGCATGAAACAGTCCTCACGTCATCGAACCCAAGCTGACAGCATTGTTTGGGCGGTTGCATTGAGTGAGCGTACCAGTGCGCGTGACAGTGCCCGTGCGCACAAGCGCAGGAGATGAGGCGCCTCACTTCCTCTGAGGCTAGCGCCGCAGTGCTCGAAAATCACGCACATCACCGCGCAGATTCGAGCGAAGTCCACGTGCCAAAGCCGCCCTGCAGTCGGCCCAGTCGGCCCAGTCCCGGCTCCGGCTGCTCCGGTCGTCACTTCGCTCGTCCCTCCCGGTTCCCCTGCAGGTTCCCCTCCAGGCTCCCCTCCTTCCATCTTCCCGCCGTCGCCTTGCCGCGTCAAGAAAAGGACGATGGCGCAGCAGCCAAACAACAATGGTAAGAATGCGCGAGAAGTGTATGTGTAGGTTCCATTATCAAAAACATCCCCGCGGCAGGACGTGGTGCGGACGTGAAAGAGCCAGTCACCTGAGTAGCTTCTCAAATCTTGCTCGGTTGGTGCATCTCCACCGCTGTGAGCAGAGTGAGCTGAATCAGGCAGGACCGGCCCATGCGAATCCACGACAGCCAAGATCTTCTCACCGCGCAACTGGGTCAGCGACACGGCTGTTGCGAGCCTCGCGGCGACCAGCAAGGCATGTATGGACATGGTTGTTTTCCCAATGGGACATGTTCGGTCTCGAGTCGAGTCTGAGAGCCGGAAACGCAGCAACAAGAAGACTGGGCACAAAGGACCCTCGCAGCATGTCAACATGGTATCAGTCACCGAAGCACGAGCTGCTCTGAGCAGGTTTCTTTTAATCTCGAGACGGACATGTGGGCTCAGACATGGGGTCGCCAACGGGTCGCTAATCACATGTCCCTGGAGTCTCAGACGCGCTCCACGATCCAGGAGATGATGCCAATTGAAAACAGCAGCACTCCGGCCAGGGCGACGCCGAGCCCAGCATTCACCGTCTCCACCGCCACGGGGAGGCTCTGGCTCTTCACGTCGAACTCGTGGGCCAAGCCGATGCACTGGTTCAGGCCTGCGCGTGTTTAAGGATTACCAACAACCGCAGGCCACTCGTGACAAAGTTCACATTCGCCTGTCCGCGGTGCCTTCCGGTTCCTTGCTATGCGTTGCGACATGTTGAGAAACTAGAGCAGGTTCCTATCCGAGCTGCAAAGGGCACCATGCGCCCAGTCTTGCGGCACATAGAGCAGGTCGCCGCTCTTCTGCAGGACGCGGAGGCCCTGTGGCCCGCCGCTCGCGAGAAGGTCCTGCAAAGCACTGCAGGCTACTTCGCATCCGGTGAGCTTGCTCTCGCTTGCTCAATTTTGATACATTTTCTGATACAGTCATGATACAGCCATGCACAGCCACAGGCCATCACGGCACCGAGGCGAAAGCGCGACTTCGATCCAAGATGCGTATCCCGCCCAAGCCAGCACCATCTTACGCAAGAACCCCAAGAGCCACTCCGTTTGTATCCGTTTGTATCGAGCTTAACTTTAGCTTTTCGTCCATGTCCGTGTGCGTGTGTGTCCAATTGAACACGAACTCAACGGGGGACGGGTTGGGTCCCATTTGGTCTCCTCGTAGACAGTGGTCTTGCGGAACTCCTGCTGCGCCGGCGGCTTCAGGAACCAGAGCTTCCGCCCGAAGAGCAGCGAGTTCACCTCGCAGGGTGAGAGAAGACGGCATTGGGACACATTGCGACATAATTGTGACCGTCAGAAGCAGGCCCCGGCCGCGTCCACGTGGTGGTGGAGGGGGCTGCCCATCAGGGCGCCCCCCAAGGTGAACTGAGCAGAGCGCAGGTTCACACGATCTCGGAAGAGCTTGGGGCTCTCCCGAGCCATGCCCAAGGGCCCTTCGGAGCTTGGGAGCCGCTCGAAGATGTAGGAAAGGTCCTCTTGCGGATTTTGCTCCCTTGTGTCCAGGAAGTCCACGTAGGCCTCCAGTGTGGTCTCCTTGGCCTTGACCTCCCGGAAGTCGTTCTCGTAGGGTGTCGAGTACGCCTTCACTTTGCGGGCTCCGGCGATGCTGATCAAACCGGCTTTGGTGAACTTCGCCTTGTCCGAGGCGCTCATACGCACGCCGCCGCGAATCAGTAAGGGCCGTCGAGCGGCGTAGTAGTGCTTCTCAAAAACATCCCAATCAAACTGCCCAAAGCTGATGGCATCGATCTCGCACACATCACCTTCTGGCAGCCATTCCTCGGGAATTCCTGCAAGTCACATGAAACACCCAATACTGCCGCAAGACAGATCATTTTAGATCATTTAGCTTCGATCAAGATACACTCTGGGCGGGGCACAAGAACTCGGGGCACTCTAATAAGAACTCGCCTCGCGGGCTCTTTGGGAGTTTAGAAAGAAGCTTGCAAAATGATTGCTCTCGGCGCTGGACTCCCTGGTGAGGTTGAGACGGTCTGGAGGCCATTTCTGCAGGTTACGCAGAGCACACTGACTCTGATTTTCTCTCACAAAAAGAAACCGCAGAAAATCTATAACAACAACCCTACAAACAACCCCTTTCACCGAGAGGGTGGGGAAGTCTCTCCTGTTTGGCTGGCACTCCAGCCCCCGGTGTCCGCGGTCGTACTCGCCTGGACGTCGCCTGCGCACTGAATGGGAGTCTCAGACTGCTCGCATCATTGACGATTGTGTGCTCGTGTGCCTGCCGGGAAAAGCTTGGTGGCATCAGCAGGTGCCTCGCTTGCAGTCGGCCCGCCTTTGCTCTCAAGAGCACAAAACGAGCGCAAGTGTTTGAAAGACTTGGAGGTCAATCGACATGACACGACAGAGCGCAAGCCTTAGGACTTCTCCGAAAGATGGTCTGAACTTGAACAAAATGTGTTTTAACGTTGGCTCTCACTTTCTGACTCGCGCTTCGTAAAAGCCGAGCGGCCCAAGGACCTGATGGCCTCCGCCGTGTCCTCGAAGCCGCCGAGCCGAGCCAGGTCCTCGGCGGTGTATCCTCAAAAGGCGAATGCAAGATGAGAAGAGGAAGAGAGAATGAAAAAGGTAGGAAAAAGACACAGAAAGAGAGAGAGAGAGAGGGGAGCGCAAGTGAGAGAGACAAAATTCGAGAGAAAGAGGCCGATACGAGGTACGAGGATATATGTACATATATAGATATATAGGCATATAGAGTGAAAGCGGGTCGTCCTCCTCCGTCGGGAGCTCCGGCGAAGAACTGGCGGTCCTGTTCGTCCTTTACTGCCCCAGAATTGGCCAGAATTGCATGATGCTGGAACACGTCTCTCTTTAAAAGAATCTGATGGTCACTTCTGAATATGGTGGAACAAGTCTTTTTTGCGCTGACACCAGCGCCCGCCCCGTAAGTCACTAGCTTGCGCAGTACATGATTGCTACATTGAGGTGCGTTGCTGTGCGTCTCGGGACATGTCTCTTCCTGCACTCTGCCTCAAACTCTCAAAGTGTCACGCTCTCAAGCTTTCCATGTCTCAAATTCTCAATCTCCGGATTCCCACAATTCCCGAAGGATCATTTATCCCCAGAGTGGAATCGACTCTTTTTAGACAATGCTTGGAAGTAACTTTAAGCAGCACTCGTAGACTTGAAGAACGGGGGAGGACCCGGCTGGAGAGGCCTTGACAGTGGTGAGGAAGAGGCGCGCCATCTGCGTGTTCCCCTGGGTGGCCGCGAGGTGGAGCACGGTCCGCTTCCGGCGGTCCCGAGCCGTCAGGATCGCTGTGGTCGCCTCCGGCACGCCCTCGCAGGCCTCCAGGACTCCCGAGGCCACCGCCACCAGCTGCTGCTCCAGGAGGTCCTCGAGCGGACGCAGCCTCATGGCCTCCAAGCGACTCCCGCCGACGAAGCCCACTCAACTTACCCAGCCTACTCTCAGCTTGCTCAGCTTATCTCAACTTACTCAACCTTTGGGAGCGCCTTTCTCTGAAAAGGGAGGCCCAACAACGCGGAACATGCGGAAGCGGCACATGGGGGACCGGCACATGCGGACGCGCCTGCTCCTCTTCGTTGCGCAGGTCCTGGGAGAGGGCAGGAACGGGAATCCCAACACTTTTCACCCTCCCTCCTCCCCCCCCAATCTGCCCCCTCATGTGGCCCCCGCCTGCGCGCGGAGCGCCTCCAGCAACGGCCGCGCGTGCGCGTCCTCCTCCAGGCGCCGCAGCCAGCGGCCCAGAACGCGGAAGCCGGTGGTGGACTGGGCCTCGAGCTCCTTCAGCGAGTAGCGCAGCAAAGGCGCCAGGCCGTCCAAGTCGACCCGGAAGAAGTCGAAAGGGCTCCAGGCCTCCGAGTCTCCTCTCTTCTTCTTGTTCTTCTTCTTCTTATTCTTCTTCTTCTGCTGGGCATAGGGGAGACCCGGAGATTCTCTCTTTCTCTCTTTCTCTCTTTCTCTCTTTCTCTCTTTCTCTCTTTCTCTCTTTCTCTCTTTTCCTCTTTCTCTCTTTCTCTCTTTTTCTCTCTTTTCTCTCTTTTCTCTCTTTTCTCTCTTTTCTCTCTTTTCTCTCTTTTCTCTCTTTTCTCTCTTTTCTCTCTTTTCTCTCTTTTCTCTCTTTTCTCTCTTTTCTCTCTTTTCTCTCTTTTCTCTCTTTTCTCTCTTTTCTCTCTTGCTCTCTTGCTCTCTTGCTCTCTTGCTCTCTTGCTCTTTATCTTCTTCTTCTTCTTCTTCTTCTTCTTCTTCTTCTTCTTCTTCTTCTTCTTCTTCTTCTTCTTCTTCTTCTTCTTCTTCTTCTTCTTCTTCTTCTTCTTCTTCTTCTTCTTCTTCTTCTCCACGCTTTGGGGGCCCCCCCGAGAAGGGGCCCCGGCCACGACTCTTTATCTCTCCGTCTCTCTCTCTCTCTCTCTCTCTTCTTCTTTTCTCTCTCTGCCCCGATCCTGCATCACTCGGATCTCTACTACCCGCCGCCCCGACGAAACGCTGCCTGGTAGGGGGGGGTCCAATATCACCCCCTCTCATCCCCAAAGTGGGACACAGCGCTTCCCCTCCAGCGAGGAACCCCTGACTTTGAGGGAAAAAAAGCAATTGCCAGGGAAAGGTTTTCTCTCTCTCTCTCTCTCTCTCTCCCCCACGCATGACCCCCCCGAAGGGAGGACGCCCCCAGGGGCGCGCGCTGTCCACAGTCCAGTCTGACGGGACGTCCCTCTCGTATTGAGGGGTCGTCTGGCACATTGGCCTTCGGGAAAGGTTTTCTCTCTCTCTCTCTCTCTCTTGCTCTCATTCTCTCATTCTCTCATTCTCTCTTTCTCTCTTTCTCTTTTCCTCTCTTGCTCCGCATACACTACGGTCTAGATGTCTTTGAACCATTTATACCATGCCCTCGGTAGCCCCCAGCGCAAGAAAACGGTCGGTACGGCTCTCCGGAACCTCGCCGAAACCTCGCCTCCACCCCCTCGGCGATGACGATGCTGCAGTAGGCTTCGGTCCAGGGGTGTTCCTTGCTCAGCAGACGCTTCAGACTAGGCCAGGCCGGTGGGCCAAAGCCATGGAGCTGCCGGAAGACCAGGTCCACCGTGCGTATGAAGCTGCTGGCGGTGTAGTTGCCAACGCCACTTTGGTATAGCAGCTGCAAAATCTTCTCGTCATCCGGGAAGAAGAGCCTGAGCTTCTCTGGGTAAGGGTTCTCCCGGTAGCTCCGCTTGAACTCCTGCATCAGTTCACGAGACCCCGAACCTGCCAGGCTCTGAGCATACTGCAGAGCCTGTCTTGGCAAGAGGCTCTGCCGCTGCGACGCAAACTCAGGGCTCAAGCGGCGCAAGGCAGACGTGCTCGACGCTCTCAGCGTAGGCTCCGTAGGTCTTCGCACGCGAGGGAGCGCCTCTCCCCCGACAAAGCTGGTGTCAGCAGCTTGGGCACCTGAGGCCCCTGAGGCGCCTGAGGCCGGTGCAGTTCGTGCATGTCGTGCACCTGGGCACCTGAGGCTCACCGCCGCAAGGAGGGCCAGGACTGCTCCAAAGACCTCGACCCGAGGGAGCAAAAGGGGAGAGGAGTTCTGTGGGCGAAAAATGGCATAACCTGCCATATCACGTCGTATCCTGCCATATCATGTCACATCATGTGTCATATCACGTCATATCATGTCATATCATGCCATACATGCTTTCTTCTTCTGCTGGGCCTGGGGGGGGGCACTACAAGGGCTTCGCCAGTGCGAGTGGCGCAGGGTTGACGTGACCCTGTGAGACTGCCGATCTTCCCCTTACAGAGCCGCCTATTCCTTCTTCTTCTTCTTCTCCTTCTTCTTTTGCTTCTTCTTCTTCTGTGCCCCACTTCTGCGCTCTCTCTCACTCTCTCTCCCTTCCATCTTCTTGGCGCGGCAGATTCGGCGCTCGGCCGCGCTGCTCTGCCGTTAGCGGACACAAGCCCTCAACACTAGGCATGTCTTGGCGTCTGCAAAACTCTCAACAGCCCAATTGGCACGACTGGCAAGGTTCCTTGAAGTGTTGGCGACCTGTCGGCCCTTGATTTCACCTTTCTTGCAACACACCTGCCCTCATGGGCTGAATGCCACACACTTCGGAGAGGAGCTGGGGACAAAAGTGAAGAGAAAGAAAGTGGGAGAGGGAGTGAGGGTGATCTGAGCCGAGAGAGCTGATCCGAGGTCTCAGCAGGAGATCTTATCAGCAGAGCGCTCTGCTCTTCGCTGAAAATCAAGAGAGAAAAGACTAGATATGTGTTTTTCGGACCATCCCCACCCCACAGCTACCTGATGCGGGAGCCGTGCTGTTGTTGTGGGATAGTAACCCTTGCGAATACGTCAGTCTGCGAAGACTTCTCTGCGGTTGAGCACTCAAGGGATACTCGCCGGGACTTTTGCGGGCTTCTTGGAGGTGGGTAGTCCAAGGATACTTGGCGGGTCTTTCTGAAGGATCTCTCTGCAGGCTTGGGCTATACTGGCTTCTTTGGGGGCACTCCAGGGATTCCCGGTGCTTTGAAGAATGGCAATTCAGGACACTGGCGGAATTATCCGATGGCGAAATTCTCTGCAGGGTCGAGGCATTCCAGGGACCAGGCCCAGGAGGCGAGGAGGGGAGGTTGAAGGAAACGCAAGAGCCCCCACACCCGGGGTAGGAAAAAGCAGAGGTGTCAGTGGCGAGAAAAAACTGAGTGAGTGAGCTCCCTGTGTAGAGTCGCGAGGGTGTCCCTGCAGCATGCCTCACCTGAGGTCCTGGCATACGAGCCGCGCCTCGCACGCGGGCCGCCGTTTCGGGCACCGTTTCGGGCGCCGCGGGTGCCGCAGTGCGCGGAGGCGCTCATTTTTCCGCGGTTTGTAAAGGCTTCACCTTTAAAACGTGGTAGAGTCGAATTACGGCACAGGAGTGTTTGGGGTTGTTGCTATTGGCTGAGGTTGGTTGTGAGGATGGCCTTGGCGTTGCGTTTTGAATTATCAGGGGACTGTATGAGGTTGCTTGAGGCTGAGCCTGTTTGGGGACTCTGGCTCTTTCCGTGCGCACTGCTTGAGCCACAGGTTGTCTCGGTGCGAAGAGAGCATATGCAAACCATGCAAAGGGTGGCACCTTCTTGATAATTCTTCGTCCTTCTCTCCCGGTCCTCCCTGTCCTTCCTTCTCTTCCTGCCTTGCCTTCATAGACTTGATTTGCTGTTGATCCTTGATTGATTCCTGCTCAGACAGCAGAATGCAGCATGCGGAATTATGTTTTCTTGACCCCCATTCCTTCTCACGCTCCTGTTTTTCCGACCATGCTAAGCAGAGTCGTGTCTTTACCTGGGCTGGCGCATCATGGCACATCGCTGGCAATCTACAACTTCCGCACGAGCAAAAACACGCTGAGATGCGCGCCGAATGCTCATCACTGAATCTCCCAGTCGCGAGCGTGAGGAATCCCTGATGGCGAACATCTGACATGCACGGCATGATGTCGCACGTGCGCTACGACGGCATGCGCAGCACTGCATGCCCTGCATCCTGTGCATGCAATGCATGACTTGGTTCCACATGTGGCTTCGGCTTGGCAGCACGCTTGACCATCTGGAGGATGCCGAACGAGCCCGTGAGCAACTCCGCCACCAGGGACGTGAAGAGAAGCCAAACAAAAGGCGACACCTCCGGACTCTCCCCCCAACTCCAGGCCACTCCCTCCATCGCTGAAAAACAAAAAAACAACGGAGAAGAGGGAGACGGAGAATGAGAAGAAGGGCACAAGGGGGGAGAAGAGGGGGAGAAGAGGGGGAGAAGAGGGGGAGAAGAGGGCGAGAAGAGGGGGAGGAGAGGGGGAGAAGAGGGGGAGGAGAGGGGGATGAGAGGGGGAGGAGAGGGGGAGGAGAGGGGGAGGAAGAGGGAGAAGGAAGAGGGAGAATGAAGAAGTGGGAGGGGTGCAGAGGGGGACGGGGAGCAGACGGGTTCTGCCGAAGCGCATCGACCCCAGCTTCCGGCTTCAGGATCATGCGCCTCAGGGCTCTGACAAAATTCTCACATCTCTCAACTCTTGTCAGTCATCTGATGCCGCAGGCGTCTGGGCGAATAAAGTGGGATTCTTGCACGGACTGGGTACCCTCCTAGCTGACCGGCAGCCGGGAGCCCCTGTTTTCGGCCACCCCCTGCAAGGAAGCTGCTTTGCAGTCTCCACCCCAAAGCCACCCTCGCGACTTCAGTACCCCTTGAACCATTAATCCCTGATTACGAGTTGAGGCACTGGCAAAGCCAACTCCTACTTCAGCGAATCCCTTCACACCCATCACTATCACCTATGCATGGGTTGTCAGTTGCCAAGCTCTCTCTTTGCTCCGTCAACGAGCGGCGTGGGGCCCAGGACGAACTCCGTGGGGTAGTGGACAATGGCGTAGGGCCACTCCGTGGTGTCGAGCTGCAAAAGACGAAGGGAGGAGAGGAAAGGAGAGGAAAGGAGAGGAAAGGAGAGGAAAGGAAAGGAAAGGAGAGGAAAGGAGAGGAAAGGAAGAAGCAAGGAAGGAAAAAGCAGACAGAACAAGAGAGAAGAGACGCACGGCAAGAAAGAGAAGAGAGCAAATGTGGATAGCATAAGGAAAGGAGAGCATAATGAAGAGCCGCACCCGAAGCCTTCGGAAACTGCGCTAGCAAGACCTGGGAAGCTCGTTGTTTGCGCACGCTGCGAAGACAGCAGGATACAGCTGGGCTGGAGTTCTCTCACGGTCTCACAGTCTCAGAGAACTGCCCTTGCCAGGAAAAGAAGCTGGTAGACGTTGAGTAAGGGTTTGAGGAAGTCCAACCTGCAGGCAGCACTCTTTAGCAACTCTTTCGCCCATCTTTGGCCTTTCCGATGGAGATTCCGATCAGGATCCAGGGCTCGGGCAGCTGGCCAGCTACCTCCGGCTCGAGCTGCAACCTCCAAGCCATTGCCAATTTCTGCTTTGCAGCTCTGCAATCTTTGCAAGCTTTGCAAGCTTTGCAAGCTTGGCAAGCTTTGCAAGCCTGGCGTCGAGCCTAATCCTGACAAAGGCCCCGTGAGGCCACGCCTTTCGAGATGGGATCTTGGGATCTGCAAGCGGGGGCCTGGCGATGATCCAGGAGCCCCCGGCACCCACAGCCAACACGACCGTCAGCAGACCAGCCCAGATGCCCGTCCACTCCAGAAAGCCTTGCAAAGATGGGGTATGAAGAGAAGCAAAGCTGACTCCAGATTTTGGGAGGTCTTTGACAGCAGGCAGTTTGACATCCCGTGATCATGGACGCCCCCCCATGTCTCTCTGTGCGTCTGAGAAGGTGTCTCTCTCTTTGTTAGTCGCCCCGGTGCCGGCCCACTTTGTGGTAGAGCGTGGGTCTAGAGACTCCTGTTCTGCTTCCTTGCGAAACACTTCGAAGTCGTGTGCTGTGATGTCTGCGTGGCGTACCCAGGCCGCCATCGGACCACGGGTTCGGCCTCGCAAAAAGAAGGACAAGTCACATGTGCAAGGCGGCTACGAGAAGGGGCCACGAGAGGGGGCCACGAGAGGGGGCCACGAGGGGGGGGCCAAGACGAGGAGTTCCCTTGCGGAAGAGGATTGCACGGTGTTTTCAAAGCTCATCGGATCTGGGTTCCCGGCCCTGGCGGGAGCAGGTCGTCGTCCTCGCTGCATCGCTTCGGCTTGCACCACACACACTCGACCACACTCTCACCGCACTCTCACCACAGTCTCACTACACTCCAAGCGGACGACAATGCCAGGGAGGTCAGGCAGGACCTCGCGCACCTGGGACGCGAGGCGAGATTGCAGCTACAAATGCCTTCCAGCCAGCCCGAGCTTTCCCTGCCTTGACCTGTGCTTTCACCTCTCCTTCCGCACTGCTATCCTGGAAACAGGGCGCTCCCGTGTGCCTTCTCCATGCGAACAACTTTTGTTTCTCCTCCTCCTCCTCCTCACCAAAGTCTGGCAGGTCAGGCAAGTCTGCCAAGTCGGGCAGGACCTCGGCAGCTGAACGGCGCTGGTGGCGGAGCTGCAAAGCCGATGCTGGCCTCCTGCGCATTCCTGGAGGATCCTTCCGACACACTCCGGGACACCACGACACATCACGAGACATCACGGCACATCACGCAAAAACGCGTCGCGGCGTCCTGAGACGCGCTGCCAGTCGTATTGGTCGTAGTCTTCCGACCTGTCTGGAGGTGTGGTCAGCGCATGAGAGGGAGCGAGAGGAGCAACGAAGGGACAGAGTCCGCACAGGCACAAAGAGAGTCCCCAAATTTGATTCGTTGACCCTGTTTTCTCCCCCACTTGTTCTGCGCGCCTGGACTTCGTCGACTTCTTGCCTTCCTGCGCATGCCGCGTTGTGACCCCCAGGGGCTGCCGCGAGCATCCATGGCCGACATGGCCCTGCATCCGATTCTTTCGGGGCAAATCTTCGAACGCTCAAAGGTTAAAACCTGTGCTACGACAGCTTCACCATTGACAAAAAGCCGCACGTCCCGCAGGCCAGTGGCTTTTTCAGGGGTCCCGGCAGGGACGAAGGCCGAACCCGCTGCCGCGGCCAAGACGAAGAGGGCACAGAGGGCACTCAGAGTGCCACTCCTGGCACTCCTCGCCGCCTCCCAACGCAACTAGAAAGGAAAGTCAAAAAAGAAAAAGGTCCAGCCGCAGCCGAGAGTTAGGCGACTCTCAGAGGTGTTGACGGAACAAAGCAGTGGAAGAACCATGAGAAAGCGCTTTCAGAGGTTCCCTACAAGTGACTTGAAAGAAGAAAGCAAGCGGAGAGAGCCCCCGCGCACGGAGAGAGAGAGAGAGAGGGAGAGCTGGGCCGGCCTGCCGCCTGCAAAGGCCTCTGACACACTGTCACGAAGCGGCACGCAATTCTGTACACACACCCTGCTGTGCTCTACTAACTGCACTCTTCGGATCCGTCTCTCCGCTTCTCACAGAGAACTTCAATGTCTGACACACACGGACGGTGCTTATGAAAATTGAGGCAACACGGGTTCCACATGGTGCAACATGGGGGCACCTCCATCTCCGGGTCTCTGCGAGCGCCCGGGGCACGTGCAGGCGCCGCGGGCCGCACCCATGGCTCTGCGATCTCTCCGGAGGCGCGAGGATGCCCGAGGTGCGCCGCGCGAAAAAACCGACGAAGTGCTCTTGTCTTGTTTTCGTCCCTAAGAGTGCTGAGTCTCTCACATGCCGCGTACCCTTATGAGCCCTTATGCTAGCACCCTTACGAGAACTCTATCGAGTATTTAACAAGCGCCCTTAAAACTTACAAAGGTCTCTCACTACATGAGCGTTCTGTTTTGCGTGGCTCAAGGCATGTTGAGTGAAATCGCAACAAGGCCCATGCCGAACGGACTCAAGCTGCGACTGCAACTAACAATGGCTCCGCGATCCCCAACGCTACGCGCTTCTACAAGCGGGCACGGTGGGTTGGGCAACGATGCGAGCAACGGCTAGACTCGGCTAGACGCCGGGAAGCCCTTTGCTGGGATTCGCTTCTCGCAGCCGCCTTAGGCGGCCCTAATCTGGAGACAGATGCTGAGGATTAGCTTCGTTCAGGGCCGTTCCTCGGACATTCGGCGTCTCTGCTATATGGGACGTGCCGCATTAAGGCAAAACATTGGGCCATCAATTTCAGCAAGGATTTGTAGTGGACGGAAGACACCCTCGTTCCGAGACGGCCATGCTCCATAAGCAACAGGCTTGCGCGCAGCCTCTGGTGGAGGCTTTTGCTGCTGTTGGGAGGATGGAGTCTGGAGCTCTAGCCCCAGCAAAACGACGTCGGATCAGTCCTCATCTGAATCAAAGGTGGTGTGGACCTTCGAATCCGAGATTTTCCACATGTCTTAGGCTTGAGTTAGCTCACTTCGAAACTCTCTGTTCGTGGGCCAACCTTCTTTGCCTCCAGTGCCGCCATCTGTTCCGCGCTCCTGGGCTGCCACATCCACGCTCATGCTTTCTCAGGCTTTGCAGATCTTTTTTCGTGCAGCTCGCGAGAGGCTCTGAGCCGCCAGGTGGCTTGAAGTGGGCGCCGAAGAGAGGGTGGGCCTTTCAACAGAGTTTGCGTGGCGGGGCCTGAAACCTTTCTGAGGCACCGAGAAGGGCCAAGCAGCCTCGCCTTCTTTTTGGTGGCCTTGTTGCCGCCGGATGTGCCCGCAATGCTTTCCAGCTCCTGCCCAAGGTGCGGGTAGAAACTTAAAACGCTAGGGCCGCTAGGGCCGCTAGGGCCGCTAGGGCACTACAAGGTGTCTCTCCCAAATCACGTGTCTCGAAGAGTCAGATTTGTCAGATTGTGCAGAGATGTAAGATTCGATGATTGGATATCAGTTCAAGCGGCACCCAGCTGCCTTGGGCACCTCCTGTGCGGCATCACGGAGTACTTTGCAGAGGTCGCCCGCGTGGGCCTTGCAGTGCGGACAAAAGGTCGCGCGTACGTAATGTCATGTTATCGCGTGCGTGCACACTGACATGGCGATTGCTTTCGATTCTGCATCAGACATCAAAGATGCCTAGAAGTTGGATTTCATGCTTGCACTAAGCCTCTGAATCTGCGAAGGGGGGTCGTTATGGAAGCTCTCACAAGACGTATCAATTTATCAATGGCATGGCCAGATTCCCAGACACACACGGCTCAGCCCGGCGTGGTCTCGTCCGAGGCGCGGCAACCGCATCATGCGCAGGCGTAATCGAATGTCGAAGTGACGTATTCACAGATATGTTGAGATGGCGCACGCTTTTCTGGGAAAAACGGCGAGAGCTCTTCGCTTTGTGGATATCAGGATATCTACTTAGCTCGCACTGATTTCGGGGGTGTAGAAATGCTCCTCATGTGCTCGCCCTCTCTCTCTCTCTCTCTCTCACGCCCTCTTTCTTTTCTCGGGGGCATGAGGGGCGCGGGGACCTCGCGCAATTCGCGCGGACCCGGAGGTCAGTGCTGGGGGAGATATCCTTGGTCTCTAGACTCCCCAACCCCTTGACCTCTGGCCCCCCCTGCGAGTGACTCTCTGCGACTGCGGCGCTGTGCTGCACGGTGGCCGGCCCTGCTGAGCAACTTATCCTAAAATGCTATAACCCCCGTAAGAAAACACCCCTCCGCTAGTTCAATCACGTCACCAACCTGAAGAAATGCCATGCTGTCGCTCAGCTCGCTCTCGCTCTCGCTCTCGCTCTCTCTCTCTCTCTCTCTCCTTCCTTCCCTCCCTCTCAAAATCCGTGGCGTGCCTTCTCGTCCTGGGCACCCTTGGACTCCGGGCAGAAGAAGCAGATTGCCAAGCCTCAAACACACACACAAAGTTTGCGGCTTGAGGGTTCGTTGCCTCCGCAATCTTCCGCGCGTTTGTACCGCACTTCCACTTAGATTTCATGTGTGAACAATGTGGACGTGGCAACAGCGAGCGCTCCAGAACCTGTAGACGTACGGTCGCGGAATGTCAGGCAGTTTCCTTATTGTCTGCCTGGCCTTTCTTGCCGGCTCGGCCAGTTCGGCCGATTCGATGCACGTAATCCTCAGAACACGAAATTCGAGAAACATATGCGCATATATGTGCGAAGAGCACATGCGAAAAGCGTGAAGGCTCCTCAATCGTCAGCGGAAACGTGTAGTTGATTACAAGCTCAACATCCTGCAAGTGGAGAACGCAAGGGGAAAGCGCGCGAACACAGTGACAGACACACATGCACAAGCACACAGACACACAGACACACAGACACACAGACACACAGACACACAGACACACAGACACACAGACACACAGACACACAGACACACAGACACACAGACACACAGACACACAGACACACAGACACACAGACACACAGACACACAGACACACAGACACACAGACACACAGACACACAGACACACAGACACACAGACACACAGACACACAGACACACAGACACACAGACACACAGACACACAGACACACAGACACACAGACACACAGACACACAGACACACAGACACACAGACGCACAGACGCACAGACGCACAGACGCACAGACGCACAGACGCACAGACCCACAGACCCACAGACCCACAGACACACAGACACACAGACACACAGACACACAGACACACAGACACACAGACACACAGACACACAGACACACAGACACACAGACACACAGACACACAGAGACACAGAGACACAGAGACACAGAGACACACACACACACACACATAAACACCTTTTTTCGACCAAGGCAAAGCCCGACTTCCCTTAGCACGCTGCGGTTCCTGAACATCGAGACCTCGGCTGGCAACGTCTGTGGCGATCAGCGGGGTCCTCAGAAGAAGCGGAGGACTCCCCGAGCACTCACATACACTCGCCTCCTTCGTCAAGAACAAAAGCAGAGACCAGGATCGAGTCAAATCTCCGAATCCCAAAGCGAATCTTTCCCCCCCCCCCACCCCGGACCCCCTACCTTTTTGCGGGAACGCCTTGAGCTGAAACTACCATTGGGCCCTGCACCCAAGCTTACGCTGCTGGTGCCAGCTTCGGGTCTAAGGGCCGGCTGCTCTCGGCACGCGCGTCCCGTGGCTTGGGCTGGCCCCGGCTGCCGAGGCAGCGCCTACAAGCGCTTTTTCCGTCGAGCAGCTTCTTCGTCTCCTTGAAGTCTGCGATGGCCTGGCACGGCAATCCACGGCAATGATGCAATGAGGACGCCAAGCGGGGCCACCAACCAAAGCGGCAACATAGGGCCTTGCCTGCGTTCGCTTCTCCTGGGACATATCCTCAGATGCAGTATGCATGCAAAAAAACAACAACAAGGCCATGCATATAGGGGTCGTGATGGGTCGTTTTCACAGCCTCGGGGCAATGGAATGTCAAAGCCTGGGGTCAGCGCGCCCTGCAGGGCGATGACCTTCTCGTAGCCCTTTTCCCACCTTCATGAATTCAGGAAATCGAAATGTGGAATGTGCACAGAATGAACGGGGCAAGTTGCGGAGAGGCGTACGCAACCCTCTTCCACTTGAACTTTCGTCTTGAGTCTGGAGGGCACTGAGATCACTGAGGGGGCGGGCAGGAAGTTTTCCAGCCAGGCTGTCTCCTGGCGTCGCTTGACAAGAGCGGTGCGTCGCGACGTTAAACCGTTTGGCTGAGAACAAAAATCAAGGTTAAGACGGTTTTGGAGGGCCGCTTAGGGCTTCGGAGGGCCCGTTCATGCGGACAGCAAACGCGAAAGAGAGAACAGGCAGAAAAAAGGAGTAATGCAAAGTATAAGAGAGTCTAGAGTCTAGAGATGTAGAGAGCACATGATGAGGGACGCAATGAACAAACAACGAAGCCGCAAAGAGGAGCGGAGCTGGAACCATCAACAACGTGCGCTCTGCAGATCTCCGTAGGCCTTCTTGTAAAGACCGAAGATGATCACCTGGCGGTGTGTCTGTCCGTGTGTCTCTCTGTGTGCGTGCATGTCTGATTCCATCTGTCCGTCTGTGCGTCTGTCCGTCTGTCCGTCTGTCCGTCTGTCTCTCTGTGTCTGTGTCTGTGTCTGTGTCTGTGTCTGTGTCTGTGTCTGTGTCTGTGTCTGTGTCTGTGTCTGTGTGTGTGTGTGTGTGTGTGTGTGTGTCTCTGTGTGTCTGTCCGTCTCTATCTCTGTGTGTGTGTGTGTGTGTGTGTGTCCGTGCGCATGTCTTTGTGCGTGTGTGCTTGCACACTTGCTCAGTCTCGGGTCCGTGTTGCCCACACAGCGTGCCTTCTTTTGGGGACTGTAGTGCTTCTTCAAGTGGTGAAGAAGGCGGGTCGGCTTGTCCTGAAAGGTCTTCTCTCAAAAACAACAAAGCGAAACCGCCGTCTGACCCCGAAAGGTCATCATGAGCTTGACCGTGCCCAAGCAGGCCTTTCAGAAGCAGCTCTTCGCAAGCTCAAGCAACTGTTCCTTCCTGCCCCCGCCCCTCCAAGCGCCACCCCCGCCTCCCAGCCCCCGCCCCCCCTGTCCCCCGGCCCCCGCACCCCACCCCACCCCCCGCCCGCATTCAAACTTCTCTTTTATTGTCTCGATTGGCTGCCAGCTCCATGGAATTGGAGGATCACACACGTTCACAACCTGTCCTTCACAGCTGACGACTTCATGGCACGTGCCCCTTTCACAGGCATCTCCTAGCCCTCAACGCCAGGGTCTGGATCTTTCCGTTTTCACACGTTGGTCCAGGATTCCGATTCCCGGATTCATGAAAGCATGATGGAGGCGCGACTTATAACATCAAAACGATCCTTGCAGTGGCAAAAAATCCCTCACGAATCGCCCAGCGCTCCACTCAGGTCCTTCTCGTTCTTGATCACCTGCAGGCATCTGCAGGCACGACATGCCGCGCGTAGAAACTCGGGGCTTTCTACGGAAAGTCCGTTGCCTCTACGAATTGCCGAATTGAGGTGTTGGCCACCATGCCCTCATCCACGCTGCCAATTCCAACCTCTCACAATCAAAGCTCCGCAGGTCCTAGCGATGCTGCACCCCGACTGAGATGGCAGCATGCATGGGCTCATTGAGGAACTTCGTCGCAAGGGCATGCACTGTCGCCTGCAAAGACATGACAAAGAAATAAACCTGCCCAAAATAGATCAAGACAGAACGGCTCAGAGCGGCTGATGGCGCTGGAGTCCCACAGCTCTCGAGGCGTGGGCGGGCCACGTGGCGCTGAACATGCACGTCTGGCGCCTGGGAGTCTGCATCATCTGGCATTTGCACGCACATCTTCTCTGTATGCATTGCCCTGTCACTGTCGGCTGCTCTGGGCGAAGCGCTTTCCAGCCTGTCAGGCTGACTTTGCCATTTTGCAATGCTTTGCATGGCACTGCAAAGGCAAGGCCGTTATCTCCGGACCTTGGGCATTCTCGCGATCAATGATTGGACTGCGTCGATGAAGCCCAGATCCAGCATCCGGTCGGCCTCGTGCATGTCTGTAGAAGCAAATGCCCGGCGTAGATTGGCGAGCAACACAGAAACGGGCAGTTTGTCCGCGTGATCGCGTGGCACTGGCCTTGAGCCTTGAGCCGTTCATTAGCTGCTCTACCGTTAAAGGGTTTACTCGTCGCATGCCCTCGATTGTGAGCTGCTGAGCCTGCCGTAACTTCAGTCTCGTCTATAAGTAGCATGTGCATGCTCGTACATTGCGAAGGCTGCTCAGAGGTGCAGGAACCATCCAGATCAGATTCGATCTGGATGGCGTGCAGGCAAATCACAACAAAACACCACAACAATAAGGTCACTCAGATTGCTGACAGCTGCAGATGGAGCCTCCTTCAGGACGACAGCAGCACTTTGTGGCGGAGTGTCGGAAGACACTCACAGCACAGCAACACTACAAAAGGACGCTTCACTATCTGGCACGATGTAACCTGGACTCGACCCCTTACGTGAGCACGCTGTGCTAAGCGGAGCGGCACTCATGGTCTTCACAGCCTTCCGCAGCCTTTCACACATCTCAGTGTTCGAAAATCTCGCCGAAGGTGCTCCAAACTCTTCCAGGCTCCGACTTCCTGCGCTCCTTGCTGTGGCGCTCCACTTCGCGGAGCGCGTGCGGCGCAGGCACCCCGGCGGGCGCCGCCTTCTTGGGCTGGGCCTGTGGTCCCTTGCTTGGCAGGAGCTGCTTGGAGGCCGTGCGCGCCGCGCGCACGGTGCCGGCGCTGCCGCTGCCGCTGGCCCTGCTGGCCTCGCTCCTGGGCGTCGACGTCGCGGCCGTTGCGGCCGTGGCGGCCGTGGCGGCCGTGGCGGCGCAGGTCCTCACGGAGCCCTGCGACTGGGATCGCCGCATATCGGCCTCATGCTGATCCCAGGCCTCGCGCATCTCGCGCGTCAAGGCAGTGAGGCTTGGTGACCGGCCTTGAGCCTTGGCTCTCGCTGCTTTCGCTGCCTTCATTTTCAAGGCTGTCAAACCCTGTCCAGGCAGGGGCGGGGCATCCAAAGGGAAGCACGGTCCTTTGTGGGCCCAAGTTGTGGGGTTCCAGCTCGGCTTTCCTTTCCTTCTGACATCGTAGAGCTCGCTGACGGCGCCGTCTGCCGGCCAGGTGCGCTCAGGGTTGCTGAGGCGCTCCCTGTCCCATGCATTGAAATCCTTTTGGGGTAAATACCCTGAGAAGCCAAAGCACGAGTCCTGATGTGCCCATGCTACGGGACCCCAAGCCTTCAGATGATCTCGCACAGGCGGCTTCACGGCTGAGGGCCCAAGCAGGGGGATGGACGGATCAAGCTCTCGCCCAATCGTGGCGATGCGCTTCCACTCCTTGGACACCAGGTGGAAGGGCCACATGTACACCACACACACCCCAACCCCCAATGGCCCAAAACCGTCAACTCTGAAATTGGCCTCCGATGCTTTCCCAAGATCCGCCTTCTTTTTGTTGCTAAGAGGTGCAGAGGGGCGCACGGGCCAAAAGCATCCGAAAAACCCGTGAACGCTATGTGTTTCAAATCACTCGAATCAAGGATCTGGTTGGCAGAAGGATGCTTTGGGCTTCGCCATCTTCGGCACTTGTCGTGGCACACCCGGGTTCCTGAGCAATGTCGGTCTCCTGGCATCGGAGATGGTTTCCAGGATGTCCTGACCATCAACAGAGCAGGGCTTTATCGACCTTGTCAGCTTTAAGTCTTACATTCTTTTTGAAAACCACTATGTACTCTCGACTCCCCGCAGATGCCACAGCGTGTCCGAGAGTGATTGATGCCGATCCTCTGCTTCACCTGCAAAAGCAAGTTTTCTGTCTCGTGACTGGTGTGTCCTATGGAGCCGAGAGTTGTTCTTTCTTTCCTGCTCCGTGCCCTACGGTAGTTGTTCTAGTAGCATCGGCAATTAGAAAACAACGTTCCCAGCATCCGCGCCTTGTTTCCACGATTTGTTTAAGAACCAAACAAGGCAGGAACAAACGAAAAATAATAGATACAGATAGATATATATATATATATATATATATATGCTCGCCCCCCCCCCCCCCCATGATCCACACATTTGGCCTCGGGAAGGCTGGTTTTGGGAGGGGGGGGACTCCAGACTCCAGATTTCCAGAAAAAATCTGGAGTACCCCCAGACTCCAGACTCCAGATTTCCAGAAAAAATCTGGAGTACCACCAAACTCCAGACTCCAGATTTCCAGAAAAAATCTGGAGTACCGGGACCCTGCACTCCAGATTCTGGAGTCTGTAATCTGGAGTCTGGGGCCGCGGGTACTCCAGATTTTTTCTGGAAATCTGGAGTCTGGAGTCTGGGGCCCCCGGGTACTCCAGAATTTTTTCTGGAAATCTGGAGTCTGGAGTCTGGGGCCCCCTGGTACTCCAGATTTTTTCTGGAAATCTGGAGTCTGGAGTCTGGGGCCGCGGGTACTCCAGATTTTTTCTGGAAATCTGGAGTCTGGAGTCCGGGGCCGGGTACTCCAGATTTTTTCTGGAAATCTGGAGTCTCGAGTCCGTCGCCCGGGTACTCCAGATTTTTTCGCCCGGGTACTCCAGATTTTTTCTGGAAATCTGGAGTCTGGAGTCCGGGGCCCGGGTACTCCAGATTTTTCTGGCAATCTGGAGTCTGGAGTCCGGGGCCCATGTTCTCCATATGCACGTTTAGGGATTACGGTTTAGTGTTTATTTGTTAGTGTTTAAGGTTTGGGTTTAGTGTTTAGGTTTTGGTTTTCAAGGTTTAGGGTTTACTTATTAGGGTTTAGGGTTAAGCGACTTGGGCAATGTCTAAAACACTAAACCTCATAATGATGAAGTCTGAAAACCCCTAAAGGACTGAAACCCCCATGTTTTTTGTCTGGGGCTTAGGGTTTAGTGTTTAGTGCTTAGGGTTCAGGATGTGTTGTTTCGGGTTTAGGGTTTACTGTTTTGTGCTTAGGGTTTAGAATGTAGGTTTCAGGGTTTAGTGTTTTGTGTTTAGGGTTGAGTGTTAAGTTTAGGGTCTAGGGTTTAAGTTTAGGGTTTAGGGTCAAGCGGCTTGGCTAAAACCCTAAACCAAATAAAGCCCTAAACTCCAAAATCCAAACAATAAACATCTGAATCCCCGACGGGTTCTTGGTGTCAGGTTTAGATTTAGTAGGGCTTGAGGTTCCGGCATTGGGGTTTACTGTTTAGGGTTTAGGGTTTGGTGTGTAGGGTTTAGTGTGTAATGTTTGGGGTTTAGTTTGTAGGGTGTAGTGTTCAGGGTTTATGGTTAAGCGTTTAGGGTTTCGTGTTAAGTGTTTGGGGTTGGTGCTAAGGGCTTAGTGTTAAGTTTTTAAGGGTTAGTGTTTAGGGTCTAGTGCTGAGTGTTTAGCGTTTAGTGTTTAGTGTTCAGGGTTTCGCGTTTGGTTTTTAGGGTTAAGGGTGTTAAGGAATTTTTACAAGTTTTACATGATTTGGGGAAGGCACCGGGGCTTCCCCAGACCATTGACAGCTTTAAAAATCCGTATGTTTAGGGTTTAGGGTTTTGGGTTTAGTGTTCAGGGTTTAGTGTGTAGGGTTTAGTGTATAATGTTTAGGGTTCAGTGTTTAGGGTGTAGCGTTGGTTTCGTGTTAGGTGTTTGGGCTTTGTGCTAAGGGCTTAGTGTTAAGTTTTGTAGGGTTAGTGTTTAGGGTCTGGTGCTGAGTGGTTAGGGTTTAGTGTGAAGGGTTTCGGGTTTGGTTTTTAGGGTTATGGGTTTCAAGGAGTTTTTTCAAGTTTAAATGATCTGGGGAAGGCCCCGGGGCTTCCCCAGACCATCTGAACTTTTAAAATCCTTAAAATCTTAAAAGAATCATTAACATTCTGCTTAAACATTCTCAGGATTTTCAAGGTTTTAAAGCCTTTGAAGAACCTAAAAATGCTTAAACATTTTAGTGGCTGCCCTTTTAGGAAATTATGGATTTTTAAAGTTGTCAATGGTCTGGAGAAGCCCCGATGCCTTCCCCAGACTTCCCCAGACCATGTAAATTTTTACAAACCCTTAAAACCCTGAAATTCTTGCAGTTGTAAATGGCTGTCCTTTTAAAGTTTAAGGATTTGATGTTCAATTCTAAAATCAAGTAACTTCCGTAATTTTGAGCGGCTGCCCTTTTACAATGTTAAGGTATTCTAGAGTTTTTAGGGATAAAAGCTTTCAGGTTTTTAAGGGCTTTAACGCCTTCAAAATCCTGAAAATTTGGAATGGCTTAAATACCTTAAAGCCCTTAAAATCTTAAAAAGGGCTGCCCGTTCAAAAAAACTAAGGATTTGAAGGATTTTTAAGTTCGAAATGGTCTGGGGAAGCCCCGGTGCCTTCCGCAGATCATCTACATTTTCAACAAACCCTCAAAAGCCTTCAAATTCTAAATGGCTGCCCTTCTAAAACTTTATGGAGCCACAAGACACACATTTCAGAAGAAGCAGAATGTACTTAAAAAACACCAGTGTTTTTATAGGGGATAATATACAAGAGCTTTTTGTATTCCAGTACAATTTTTACTGTATTTTCCGAGGAAGAAGCAGAAAATCAGACAAAGACGAAGACCGGAAAACCATAGGTGTGGATCATGGGGGGGGGGGGGGGGGGGGGGACCATATATATATCTATATATATATATATATATACTCGTCCTCATAAGGGCAAGAACGGGATGATCATCTATATATATATATATATATACTCGTCCTCATAAGGGCAAGCACGGGATGATCATCTGCTGCTTTTTCCTGGTTCTTAAGTGAAAAATAGTTTTGTGTGTATACGATCAATAGACAAATTGTCTTGCGGCTGTGACCTCACACAGATCAATATGCACTCCCAGCATACGTGCGCACAATGGATTGCCATGGACAGCAAAAGACTGCTCCCTCAGAAGTACCAAGTGACCTCCCGGCTCCGCCGCCATGGCCACGCTGGCCGACATGGCAGACATCACGGCCGAAATGGCCTTCGAGCAGCCTTTGCCAGTGAGGGCCTTGGGAACCTTGCAAGAAGCTGCTCAGAACCCATCTGGCGCTGACCTGCAGTCTGCTGTGATGGGCTTTTGGTGCGTGTTTTGTTAACGTCTAAGCAACAGCACAGTGCGGGAGCCAGAGGCGGCGCATCACCGATCACTGAGTCACGCACGATCGCACACATCAACAGCAAACTCAGTGAACTTGCTTTTACAACTCCCGGCACAAAGCAAAAAAAGACAGCCCCTACGTGCACCCTTCAGTGGCACAGCTAGGTTTTTGGCTTGGGTGCTAACTTGGCAAATATGAGCTGAAGTCAAATGCTCACGGCCCGCACGGCTACGGCAACCACTGTGGCTACAACTGCTGTCACGGTACATATATATGTATAGATATATATCTTCATGGTGCGTCTGAACATGTCTGAACCCAACACACCACGTCCATCAGAGAGCTGCGCCTCATCAAGCACAAGGTACTGCCTTAGGACACGAGCACGAAGATGTCATGGCCACAGCCCATGGTGTAAGCAGTGTGAACCGCTGAGCTCGCATCACCGAGCTCAAATCCAAAGTCTCCTCCTCCACCAAGTCCTGGAGTGCCGGAAGGACAGCAACAAAAGGCTCCCAGCACAGCTTTTGCCAAAAGGCGAAAACCAAGCCCCACGTGAGTGAATGCAGACAGCTAAGAAAGGACACAGATTGGCAAGAAAAGAGGCAGCGACACTCGCTGCCAGCAGGTCGTCCAGCTGTCGCATGTGTCCTGCAAACGCCCGGGCGTGCAGATGGCCATGTCGACTCCCGTCTGGATGATTGCCTCGGTTGCGCACAGATGGGACACAATTTCCACGTTCTTTTCTCCACCTTGCCTGTCGCTGATCTCTTTTGGGAACACCGCCGTAGATGCAAAGCACTGGATAGAGCCCCTGCCAGTCTCAGCACGTGCTCAGCACAGACACCACCAGGAAAGATGCATGCTCAGACCTCTTCCCCTGCTGTCAAAGCCTTCACCAGGTCAGTGCAAACCTGGCACAGGCCATTGAGCGACTGACCGCCAATACCAAGGTCACCAAGCCAGCGTGCGAAAGACTGACCTCTGCAATCTGCATTGCCAGTTCCCTGGCAGCATACACTACGAGCACGCTTCAGAAAGAGACAGAGTCCAAAATCGAGTCTGTACTTTAGTTTAAGCCCTCGTCCACGCTTTAGCTTAAACTTTCTTGAGAACTGTGCCTGGTTGGCGCCATTGCAACAAAGCGTGGGGAAGCGCAGGGCTGCTCAAAGACGTCCAGCTGCCCGAGCCTACCAGTTCAAACCAATGAGTGCGGCGTCAAAAACAAAACGCACAATAGCGCAACTTTGCGCTACATTGCGCAAATTGAGATCATTTTGGAAGGGTCGGCTGCCACGGCTTTAGCGGCTCACCCTTTTTGCCTCGACATGCTCAAGTACGGAAGGGCAAAGGCCAACGTCTTGCCGCTTCCGGTCCTACCAAGTCGCTTGGGCTCAAAGCCTGCCACACATGAGCAAGAAGCTACGTCGAACGTTGTGGCTAAGGCACTAGCTTTGCAATGCCACACACGTCGCTTCTCCTGCGCATGGGCACGGCACTCGAACACCGCCTGCACACGCCTGCACACACGATACACACGCCTGCGCACACGCCTGCGCACACGCCTGCGCACACGCCTGCGCACACGCCTTTGCACACTCGACAAGACTGCACTGGGCTGCTTTTAGCCGAGGATCTGCATGATCAGGGGCCAGGCGCAAGCCTGAAGGTCCGCTCAGACGGTTTCACAATCTCCGGAAAAAGGCACTGAGAGAGAGAACAGGGTTAAGGCGGCGTGCTTGGATGGGCGTGGGGCTCTCGAACTTGCTCTGGCAATACCTGCCGCTCTTCTCGGAGCTTCTCATGCTCTTCGAAGCACTTCGAAGTGAAGAAGGACTTCCCACTGAAGCCCCCTTTCGGCTCCCTCAGCCTGATCAGGCGTTTTGCGAAGCCCTGGAAGTGAAACCCGGCCAGCGGGGTGATGTCGATGTCCTGCGCAGATCTCAAAATGGGCAACAGCTTGGCAAAGCATTCAATAAACATACTGCAACATGCCGCAACACACCCACGCGAATATAGCATTCAATAGAGCGATTAATCTCCTTGCCCTCAGGGATGTGGACCTGCGTGATCGGCGCAACCCATCCAAATTCTCGGCAGCAAGATGAATGCACACCTTGATGTTGTGCTGGTCGAAATATGCCTGACATCGCGTCAGTGGCGCGCAACTGGCTTTGCATGGCAAAGCTCGAAGGCTACTGACGACCTTTGCATCTTCCACTGTCAAGGTCGTCTTCTGCTTCTTTGCCTGCACTCAAAACCATCTATATAAACACCCCACCCAAAAACCGCCCCCACAGATTTCGGGTGTGGTTGGGTCGCAAGAGGCAAGCGGCACACGAAGGGTCACGCTTTGGGTCGAGATGTGCTGGGAGACGTGGTCGGAGACGTGGTCAGCCGGCCTCGAGGCCGTTGGTGGGCTCTGGCCTGTTGAGCTTCCTTTTGCTCCCAGCCATGGCTCACAACCAATTCTCGCAGTTCGCCTAGTACAGTAAGCTGGCACCTCAATGGGAGTCATGTGACAATGTGATGTGCTTGTGATTGCTTCCTGCAGCCGAGTTGTGCCGTGGTCCAATACAATGCTCAGTAATGCTTAAACTTGCCTGCAGATATCTTTGTCTACGTGCCACCACAGTGGATATCGTGTACTTTGGCTGAATGACTTCCGACTTCCAAGAACCTCCGACGCTGCGATGTGTCAGGGCCGGACATGCCGCAAGCGATCATGGACCAATGGAATTTCAAGAGGTGTGAGATGCTTTCAGCGTGTGATTCTCGCTGCGTGATCCGCAGCATGGGAAGGGCGCGCCCCAACTTTTTCAAACGCTCAGCGGCCGCCAGCCTCTGCGCCCGCCAGGGCCGCCAGGAGCGCCGCGGCGGTGCGCCCGCCGAGGCGGCGGCCATCGGAGCCTCCGCTCGCTGTCACTCTGCGCACCTTCTTCAGCCGCCTTCGTATCTCCGGTCATTGAGCGAAAACGACCAAGTTCCCTGTATTTCAAAAGCCCAGGCCACGCCAACCCTAGTATAGCCCTACGCGCCATGGACCGTTTACGTACAAAGTGAGAATTCATATCAACAGCACGGTAAGTCGAAATTTGCAGCTTGCACTTACCTGTGACGCACTAAACCAAGAGCCAGACCTCGTCATCAAAAACACCCTCAGACACAGAAGCCCAACCAAACGCAAACATGAAGTTCCGCCTTACAAAACCCACTAAAGAAAAACATTCGCCTCGGCTTCCTGCCGAGAAGCGTCTGGAGCAAGCAGACCCGGATGGGCCTCCTTCCCCCGAACCGAACCCTTCCCCCGGACCCCCCCCCCCGCCCTGTGGGAGAAGAGCGCAAACCGATGCCGTGGAGGGTCCCGCAGGCACCGCCGCAAAACGCACCCTGCCACTCCCCACCCGCCACCCTCCACCCCCCCCTCCCCTTTTTTGCAGAAACCCTCTTTCCTCCTTTCCTGTCCGAGGGCCGGCCCGGCTGCCGAGGAGGCGCGCGCAAGCATTTACAATTAACAGAATAACAAGTTTTTTTTTGTCTGCCCTCACAAACACTCTTTAAAGTAAACCTTATTCCAAAGTAAACACTCGAAAAAGAAATAACTGACAATCTAAGCTTCGCGGATGCCCGCACCCACCCGGATGCAGTGCCAGTTCTCTCACTTTTCAACCGGTATTTCTCGGGCTAGTTGTCAAGCCGCCGCTCTCTGAAGTCACATCTTTCGTCCTGCCTTCCCTGACCCATCTTCAAGTCTTCGTTGCTCAAGTTCCCCTTTCTTCGGCCCCTGTCCTCAGGGTTCGCCAGGTTGATCTGGAGCCGGGGCTCCGGGCTCCGGGCAGAGGCCGCCCCCAGCCCGCATCCTTCCACCCGCCGCCCCACAGCTATTGGGACGCTCCGCCACCTCACTAGCCGGCCAGCTCGACTGGCCGCGTGACGTGCCCGGGCTTCTGCACATCCCCGCATCTTAATGCCGCGCACAGTATCCCACATGTTTCGGGCAATATACTGTTCGACCCCCGAACTCCCCAACAGAGAGAGAACCTTCACCGGAGGCTTTCTGGTTATTCGGGCGCGCCCGAGGTCTTCTCATCCCTTTGAACCCCACGCCTACAAAGCCAAGACCAACTCGAAGCTCTTGTCGCTGCAAGTCCGGCCCCGTCTCCTGGAGGCTCTAGGAACTCTTCTGGGCGTTCCACATTCTGCACATTCTGCACATTACACACACACACCCACACACACTCCCACAACCACCCTCACACACACTCCCACAGCCACCCTCACACACACAGAGACACACACACACACACAGACACACGCACACGCTCCCACACACGCACCCTCACACACACACACACACACAGACACACACACACACACACACACACACTGACACACTGATGCAAGAATGCACTCGAAAGTTGCAAACTTGCAAATGCACTCATGCCGGATGCACATGCCCTCCAACCGGCCTGAAACTGGAAAACCTGGTTTAGTCAAAACGAGAAGGGCCCGACTTTTGTTGTTGTGGCATGCCACCTACATCCTCAGATGTCCAGGCACTGCCACGGCAGGTACGTTTGCCTGGGATGTGGGGGGGAGCTTCGTTGGGCAGAGCCACCCCCACACCCCCTCTGCCCCCCTGCAATCATGAAATGGCAACCTTGGTAGTGGCGGTGAAGCCTTTCCAGGAGGAACGAACCGTTTCCACACACACATCGCCCTCAAAGAGGGCTAAACCGGTCGGAACGTGAAAACCCCGAAGACCGCCCCGAAACCCCCCAGTACTAATGCACGTGCCCTGGCGCTCGCACTGCCTAAAACCTGTTTGACAACCCCCATGGAAAACGATAAAAACGGTTTTGAGTGAGCCGCCACTTGGTTTTAAGTGGATGCGGGTCCTGTCCACAAAGCGGTGGATAAGGATCCAATCCACCCTTTGGAAAACAAAAAACTGCGGCAGGTAGTTTGAGAGCGAGAGAGGTGGGGACATGTGGGATGCCTGCCCCGTGCCCCCAGCAACCTGACAAAACACGACCTCGGGCGGGAACATACATCAGCTCGACACCCGTCTCTCGGAGACATCGAATCAAAACCAAGAGAGATGGAATCGGGAGGAAAACCCTTGGCTCGCACGGACCCTCACTTCCTAAAAGCTTCAAGTGAACTTACCTCCAATCGGAGGCTCGGCTACCCGCCGCTGGTGGGCGCCCAGGAGGGAAAGCCCAACCGAAACCACACACTGATGCAAGAATGCACTCGAAAGTTGCAAACTTGCAAATGCACTCATGCCGGATGCACATGCCCTCCAACCGGCCTGAAACTGGAAAACCTGGTTTAGTCAAAACGAGAAGGGCCCGACTTTTGTTGTTGTGGCATGCCACCTACATCCTCAGATGTCCAGGCACTGCCACGGCAGGTACGTTTGCCTGGGATGTGGGGGCGAGCTTCGTTGGGCAGAGCCACCCCCACACCCCCTCTGCCCCCCTGCAATCATGAAATGGCAACCTTGGTAGTGGCGGTGAAGCCTTTCCAGGATGAATGAACCTGTTTCCACACACACACACACACTGATGCACACACACACACACACAGAGACACACACACACACACACACACAGACACACACACAGACACACACACAGACACACACACAGACACACACACACAGACACACACACAGACACACACACAGACACACACACACACACACAGACACAGACACACACACACACACACACACACACACACACACACAACACACAACAACACACACACACACACACACACACAACACACACACACACACACACACACACACACACACACACACACACACACACCACACACACACACACACACACACACACACACGACACACACACACACACACACACACACACACACACACACACACACACACACACACACACACAACACACACACACACACACACACACACACACACACACACACACACACACACAAAACACACACACACACCCACACACACACACACACACACACACACACACACACACACACACACACACCACACACACCACACACACACACACACACACCACACACACACACACACACACCACACACACACACACACACACACACACACACACACACACACACACACACACACACACACACACACACACACACACACACACACACACACACACACACACACACACACACACACACACACACACACACACACACACACACACACACACACACACACGCTCTACCAGGAACCTACTGCAGCCCGCAGCTACACAGCAGTTGCGCGCGCTTTCACACGTGCTTTGTGGCCTTCTGGCCGACAGAAAAGCCCAGGACGGCCCTGAGCACCATGTCGCTGTGGGGAAGCGCCTCCTGATTTTCAACAGAGCTTGGAGCGATTGATGTTTTGCAAAGTTGGCTTGCAATTGGCTTGAAGCATGCTTGAAGCATACTTGAAGCACAGGAGCACAGTAGCGCAGGGCTTCGGGCGGGGTCTGAGGGAGGCTCTCCTTGGAATCGAAGGCGCCAGGATGCAGCAGCGTCGTCAACGGCAGCAGCGTCGTGCCACGTGCGGCCGTTGCCGAGGCAGACATGGCGGGCACGGTGGACACGGACGCGTCTGAGGTCAAGGCCTGGCAAAACCAATCCAGGCCGCCCTGATGGGCTGGCACGTGTACTCAGAGATTCAGCCAATTTCCAATTTACAGACTTCAGATGATTCCAAACTTCCTTGTCCTTCGTCTGAACAAAAATGCATGGAGCAGATGTGCTTGGAGAAATGAGAAAGAGATAGAGAGAGAGAGAGAGAGAGAAAAGAAAGAGAGAGAGGAGAGAGAAGAGAGAGAAGGAACGAGAAAGAGGGCAGCGCCCCACCCAGAGTCCAAGTGGCTTCGAGAAGTGGCCGGTGGCTTCGCTCCGGCTCCCCAGAAAGCTCCAAGCAGCGCTCGTAAGTTGGAAAGTCCCCTCGGGTGATGTGTTGAAAGTGAAAAGGGAGAAAACATGCGCGAAAACTCAGGTCCAAAATGACCTACTCAAGAGCCAACCTTTGCACCCGAAGAAGCGACTTCTCACACGCTGGGATTTGTGATCGGAGAGGATAGACCTAGGGAACTTTATGGAACACCCCCTTCACGGCCCCCCCCCCCCCCCCCCCCCCCCCCCCCCCAAAAAAAGAAAAACAAAAAAATGTGCGGGAGTCTGGGAAGGGGTTCACTCAACTCCCAGGTTCACACCGATTCACACCGAGGCGCCTAAGCTGTCAGAGCTGCCGCAGCACTCCTCACCACTGTGAACGCCAAAACAGATACAGAGTTTGCCGCTCTCCGAGTCCCCAAGTCACACCTTTGAGTCCTAACGTGTCATATGACCCTTTGCTTCGACAGGTTTTGATCAAGACGAGCTTCGCCAACATCATGTAAGTCATGAAGTCTTCATGGAATACGTTAGGTATCTGACGATCCGAAGCATCGTTACGAGGTCAGCTTGGCCCAATGCATGAGATTGATTTCCGCCCAGGTTCATGGTATTATTATGCGTGACATCGAGCGTTGACCCAACAAGATAGTGCCCCGCACCGTTCTGAGCAGATGTGCGTTTGCGCCAAGAATCTCTGGTCTTCTTTCTGTTGCCGACCTGACTCTCTCGCACGCTCTCCTCTGCCCTTCCTCGGAGGATGCGTGGGCTGTTGTCAAGCTGCCCGTCCATAGACGCCTGTGACGGCAGGAGGGCGGAGGGGGGGGGGGGGGGGCGTCGAAGAGGATGTTCCCTGCATCGGCGCGCAACGCATCAACGAATCGCAAAGCCACATTGCCTGCCAGCTTTCCAGAGAACTACGAGGAAGCACCAGTCCAAACGAAAGCACCACTGTCGAGGGGTAGGCGGACTTGCCTCGGATCTTCAGGCTCTCGTATGTTATCGTGCACTTTGTAGGTCGGCTGACTTCTTCCACGGGACTGTCTGTTGAAGAAGCTGCCTGGCCAGAGGGCCATCCAAAGCGCCAGCCACTTCCAATGCACCTCAAGGACTCTCAAGGTCTCAAAGAGCCTCCAATAGAACTGTGAAGCAGGACTCAGGGATCGCGGGTAACTTCTCTTCTTGTTCCGCAACTCGTGGCCAAACTCCCGACTTGAATTCTGTTCTTGAGGTTCTTTGAGCTGCCTGGGTCGAGTGCCAGCTGATTTCAGGGTTAGGGTTGTCCGCTGTCCGTCTCGCATGACCGGTCCCACCCACTCGAAATGTAAGGGGACAAAGGGTAGGCACCACGACGCCCCTAAAGGATGGGGGTGATGGGGACACTAGGCCCCAAAAAATCACAAGTGACTCAAGTGACGCCCATCTCCTGAAGAAACAAGCTGGAGACACAAGGGGTGGAGTAAAGAATGGCACACAAGAATGGCCTGGGCAAAGAGCGTGGAGCCACGTCCTCCAAGTGTGGTCACGGATCCTCTCGACGCCCTCGTCGGCACATTCGGCACCCGTGGTCCCGAACCTCTCCGCTAAAGGAGAGAGAACAAGAGAGGGAGAGACAGAGAGAGAGACAGAGAGCGAGAGAGGGAGACAGAGAGACAGAGAGACAGAGAGACAGAGAGACAGAGAGACAGAGAGACAGAGAGACGGAGAGACGGAGAGACAGAGAGACAGAGAGACAGAGAGACAGAGAGACAGAGAGACAGAGAGACAGAGAGACAGAGAGACAGAGAGACAGAGAGACAGGAGAGACAGAGACAGAGAGACAGAGAGACAGAGAGACAGAGAGACAGAGAGACAGAGAGACAGAGAGACAGAGAGACAGAGAGACAGAGAGACAGAGAGACAGAGAGACAGAGAGACAGAGAGACAGAGAGACAGAGAGACAGAGAGACAGAGAGACAGAGAGACAGAGAGACAGAGAGACAGAGAGACAGAGAGACAGAGAGACACACACACCAAACACGTGCAGGCAAACGTCCAACACATCGCGTGACACGAGATAAAGCAAGACGTGATTTGAACTTTGCAGAGCCTGGTGACGGCTTGTGCCCACGCCTCACCATTTGCGCCGACTCTATCGAGACGTATTCGTCGCAAATGTCATGACACGCGGTGTGACACGAGTGGTCTGTGGGCGGGTCGGGGGCCACTGCCGCTGCAGCGGACAAAGTAGCGGGCCAGCCGCAAGCGAGCATCAAAGCGACAGCCCTGTCCGACCTCTGCTGCGCGGCACTCAGTTTCACAAACAGCCGAAGCTAACACATGCAAAGACTAGGTGACTAGGTCGCAGGCCAAAGGTTCAAAAGCAGTGGCACGGTTTTGTCAGGCATGGCTCCTGTTCCACACACTCTTCCATTCTGCTTCTCCATTCTGCTTCTCTATGCTTTCTTTTGGGGCTCCGGGATGGGACGAGCCTTGCTGGCGCCGTCTCCGAGGCTTGGCTGAGATGCCAAGGAAGGCGTCTGACTCCTCATCCACAAAAGCCTGCACATTCATATACATTCATGGCGCGGTAACACCGGGCGCAAACATGGGCAAACACACGGCTGCAGAAGAAATGAATAAAATGAAAAGGAGAAGTGAGAAAGGAGAGTGTCCCCCCTTCATGCCATGGGGTTCCAGGCTGTGGACTCCTAGACCTTGCCCAAAAAAAGGCACCAACTCCCCCCTCAGACCCCCCGTGCTCTGGGACCCCCTTAACTACTCCTGAAACCCCTCTTAGGACTTAGGACTTAGGACCCCTCCTTTTTTGAGATTTTTGCCTCCTAGGAAACTCGATGCTACACCCTGCGGTGGGCCAGCCCGGCTGCCCAGGCGGCCCACATAAGCGTTGACAACAAACATCAAACGCATGGAGTCCATGCACTGTCATCAGGGACTCCACGGCCTGTGGCGGTGGAGCCACGGAGGCGGCCTTGTTCCTGTTGGAATCTGCCGCCTACCACAAGCGTTGTCTACAATGGGAAATGGATTGAACCGGAATGAACCGTGAACCTACCCCGAGAGGTTTCTCGACTATTTGCACCACCAGTTCGAAAGCTTGACTGCACATTGTGTTGTTCGGTCGTTGCTGGTGCAACCTCGAGATGCACAACAGCAACGACCTTTGGCACCTCTTCGCGACACAGCGATGGTGATTGGACGAATCAAAAGCATAGTTTCGGCACGAGATTGCATGCCCAATGCCCGCATGCCTCATTCAAGGTGCGCGTCTGCAAACTTTGCTCGATGACCTTAAAGTGGTTCATTCACACATCCTCGCGTTGGTGGGACACGTCCCTGCAGAACGCAATGACACGTGCCCATCTGCCCTGCCGCTCAGTTCAACTCAGTTCCTCATCCAATTTTTGAACGTGCGCAAAAAACCTGTTGTCTCACAGCATGCTTGGGTTCAAAATGGGGCCCCTTCTCCGCATAATCAGACCTCCACGCATACTTCGTTCGCGCTGTCAATCGAGCACCTTATCACACCCTCCATTTGAACAAAACAAGACCGTGGGCTAATCCATCTGCGCAAAAGGATTTCGCTCCTGTTGAGGGAAGCAGCCTTCTTCCTCAGGGGCTGCCTAGAGGCCTAGCTCTTTTCTTGATCACCGACTCAAACAAGCTCGATGTTGAAGTAGAAACTGGCGAAAAGACACTCAACTAACATTGCGCCTGCCATGTGGGAGAGTCGTCCAAGCAATATGAATGGGAGTACGGGGTTCCAGGGGCTCAGCCGCTAGCATCATCAACATTCGTAGCATCAGCAACATCGCGAAATATGAGCATGCAGAGAGATGGCCTACTTCGGGCGTGGCCGACTGTTGGGCAAGAGGTGTTCGTGTTTCGCCAACGCAAACGGATGCTCAATGATGCTCACAAAATTGCATGGATGCTACACATGCGAACAGCGTGCTCCGCAACAGCTGATGTAACGGACGCTCCACCTGTCAGGTTCACAGCGCAGAAATGCTTGAACTTTTACGGCAGACTCACTGCCAGGATGTTCCAATCTCATCTTGCTGTGAACACACTTTTGCAGCATAGGCAGCATAAAGGAAAAGCCGTCACAAGCATCACATAGTGCGCTTCCAGCGCGCAGGCATCCCTTGGAGACTCGGAGATATCATTGGAGCCCGTTGCTGTCTTCGCTGGGCAGTGCACACCATGCCCCACGCTGCCCCTGCATGTAAACAACTTGGTGTGGCGCTACTGTGATATTTTTTCGCAAGACACACACGCACAGAGACAGGCTCTCGCATCACATGCTGTGTGCATCACACGCTGTGTGCATTTTGTGCGCAGGCGCCTTGCTGCCGGCCACGCTCAGGTGAGGCTCTGAGCAGCCCGGCGCTTGGCACCCCCTTTCCCGCTCCTCCGCCTCAAGAGAAGCTCCAAACAGGTGCAAATCGAAGTGAACAGTTCTTGAAGTATCTACCAAACTAATACCGAACTACAACAGCCATCAGCACAAACTTCCTCCGTGTTCAGGCGTAGAAGCTCTTGCTCCAGCGATCGACCTGACGCTGCACTACCATGCTTATCAAAGGCGTACTGTGAGCAAGCGGGGCCCACGGGTGCCCCACCCCAGCCAGGGACCCGGCCTGCTTTGGTCACTTCGCTGAGGACGGACATTGTGCCATTTCTTGCTTCCTCCGATTTGTATCGCAAAAGGGCACGCGCGCGCCCGCTCTGCTTAGTTAATGCTGCAGTCTACTGCAGTCCTCTTGCCAATTCTCGCCCATGGCATTCCTTGGCAATCGAAGAATCTTAGTTTTGTAGGCTTTTGTCTGATTGGCTCAGCAATTTGACCCTTTGACGTTTTCAGGCAAGATAGGCAAGGCTACGACTGTTTCAAGAAGGCACCCTCCCAGTATTCGCCCGCAGCTTCCAGTATTACCTTCCTTGTGGTCTAAGGGCTTCCCAGAATTTCCAAACTTTTGATTTCCATGACGTTTTTGTGTTTCTTTCCGTCGCCCCTTGAAGATCTTGAAGGTTTGGCAGCGCTCCTTGAAGCGGTCATCCTAGACCTCCCCTGGTGGCAACATACTGGACTTTCGGGCGGAGCGTCTGACGCCGGAAGATCGTCTTGGGCCCCTCCGAGCGAAGGAAGGCCTCGAGCACCGCAGCGGTTGCCGCAGCGGTTGCCACCACGCTGCCCTCCTCCATCTTCTCGCCTCTGAAAAATTGAGAGAGCGAGAGAAAGGGTGGGAGCGAGGGAGCGAGAGAAAGGGTGGGAGCGAGGGAGCGAGAGAAAGGGTGGGAGCGAGGGAGCGAGGGAGCGAGGGAGCGAGGGAGCGAGGGAGCGAGGGAGCGAGGGAGCGACGGAGTGGGTGTGCGTGTGTGAGGCCGAGCCATAGTCAGAAGAGTCACAGTCAGAGGCAGAGTCAGAGGCAGAGTCAGATGCTCTCTCACTCTCTCTGTTTCTCCTTCCGGCTTCCCAGCTTCCCCGAAGCTCTGCTGAGCGGCCCAGGAGTGCGTCTCGGACCTGCTGGGCCGCGCTGCGGATCTCCGTGGGGGGCCTCGTGAAGTCCTCGAGGAGGTCCAGCGCCTCGTGCAAAGTCGAGCTTTGTACGCCGTTCACACCCTCCGAGTTACACACCGGCCATTGCCGTAGTAGCTCTTGCGTTAGGTGTCTCTCCATGTTCCGTGCCATCTCTCCTTCATGCTCCCCTCCAGGACGGGGGGGTGCACATACCACGTGCGCACACGGGTTTGGGGCTTTAGGGGGCTTTCCAGGTTGTTGTTGCTTGGACTTCTCTTGCATGACCACCGCTTTGTGAGCCGTTATGCAATCCCTTTATGACCCTTTAGTTTCAGGGCATATCTACGCGTTTTCAGGCTACGGGGGAACTTGTAAGCGCCCCGGGTTTGGAGTTGGGGGCTTAGGGTTTGTGGGTTTACGATCCGAGGCTTTGGGGTTGGTGGCTTGTGGGGCAAGGCGCACGTGCGAGCGGCTAACCATGTGCACATACGAGGTCCTAAGCTCCGCAAGCCCCTAAAACTCCGTTCTTCGTTGGAGCTTTTCTTTGGAGCTCCCAAGGGCACCTCTCCAAAAGCCAGTGTGGGACCCGGGAAGAGCAGCCGCCGCAACTCCGCTTGAAACTCCTGTGGCTAATGGAGGAAGTAGCGGGAGAGGCCTTCTTGAAGAGAAGAACGTGACAACAAACGGGTAACATTGCAAACATTGCATCATTGCATGCATTCTATTTGTTGTGGCCCTCTTCGTGCGCGCCCCGGGCCCGTCTCTCTGCCCGTCTCTCCTGTATCGCCGGGTCCCCAGGCGCCAGCCGGCGAGCCTCACAGGCGGCCTCGCCAAGTTCACGAAGCTTTTTCTGAGACCCTATCAAGAAACGGCTCCGCATGCTCCGCCCCCCCTGAGGCAGCAGCCAAGCGAGCTTCCCCCAGGCGGCCCAGTGCCTGAGCAGTCTCTAATTTGCCCAAACAGGGGGGAGGACCCCCTCTCCAAGTCTAGCCCACTCTCTTCTCCAGTCGCGGCCAAGGAGACTTTCAGGGCCGCCGCGATGCGGAAGTGCGCTTTGGGCCAGTCCGGCCTCAACTCCTTGCATTGCTCGGCCTCCCACGCTGAGTCGGCACTCCAACCACATTCTATCCACTATCCACTGCACGACACGAATTGATGAAGGAAAAGACGATTCGGATCTTCTGGCCTCGGACAAGGCCAGCTCCGCATCTCCAAGTCGCAGCAGGCAAAGGGAACCTCAAGTTTTGCAGCCCTCAGAAAGCATTGCCATCGGATCCTTCTGACACAGACTCTCCTTTCGCGTCTCCTGCTGAGTGTCATTTTGAGTGTCGCATGCTGTGTGTGTGTTCTCCATGTTCATTTGTCCGCGCTGCCAGCATTGGAAACTTCGCCTGCAACATTCGGCACTGGGTGGAGCCGCGGGGCGATTGGCCCGGAGTGTTGCAGCTTGCCCTTCTTGCCCTTGGTCGCATGGTCCCTGGAAGCACTTCTCACACAGGCTTACCCTTTCCACATAGCGCCCTCTACTGCAGACTCCTGCACCTCTCTACTTCTTCCTTCTCCTTCCCTCTCTTCCTCTCTCTTTCTCTTCCTCTTTTCCTTCTCTTCTCGTGCTCTCTCCCTCCTTCAGTCTCTCCCAGCCTCCTCGAGCGCCCGGAGCGCCGCGGCGTAGCAGCGCAGCGCCTCGCGGAAGTGGCCTCCCGGACGGAGCAAGCTCGACAGAGCGGAGAAGGGTGGAAATGAAAAAGAGAAAGAAAGAGAGAGAGAGAGAGAGAGAGCGCGAGAAAAACATAAAATGGCAACGAAAGCGAGAGGCTGAAAGCATCGGCGAAAGCAAACAACTTACAAGCTCTACCCCCCCCCCATGCAGCAGCGCAACTCGCTGGGTTCACTCCACTCCCTCTGGGGTCCTCTGGGCTCCCTCTGAGGCCAGCACCCTGCTGGAACTGCCGCTTGCCTTCCGCCTCAACAGCCGATGGGTCGCTAACCGCAAACCGCGGACATCCGCCCTGCGCAAACCTATCTCAGCCAAACGCCTGACGCAAAGAAAAACATTGCACAGCCCCGGCACAGCCCCGGCACAGCCCCCCGGCTCACCTGCAGACCTGCCGTTGCCATTCACAGCACGCAAGGCGCGGGGCTGCCATGGCACTTTGCACACAAACGTGACATAACAGACATGCCATGTTGCGAGGGGGAAGTCCACCGTGGATGACTTACATGGCTCAGGAAACGCCTGTGGCACATGACGCTATGGCTGTTGTCTGCAAGAGCGAGCGCCCATGGTTCTGCTGACTACACTTCGATTGCAAACCCAAAGCCGCAGAATCCCAACCCACTTCTCTCGACTGTGCAAATTTACAGGAAGCACGGGCCTAGTCTTTGAAAACTTGATCCTACCTGTACTGTACAGGCACCCATACAACCAAGATCATTCCTGTTGTTGCACGGAGCGTTTCTGGTACGGCACGCACTCAACTGAAAGCACATTCAACAAGAAACACGACAACCCCTCAACCTTACAAACCTTACAAACCCTAAAAACCCTCCCTGAACTCCAAGACCCAGAGATCCCAAAAGCTCCGCAATCACGCTGGGATGTTGCAATAATGCGCCGCTCTAGCAACTGCCCCGCATGATGGAAAACATGAAAACATGAAAACATGACATGAAAACATACCTGCCAAACGCCACTTGCGTGGGAGCCAATCTGAGCACTCGAGCACGACCTTTTGATCACGGCTGACAGTAGTGAAACACTGTTAACTGTCAACTTCCATGAGGATTGTGTCTCCGTATGTGTCTTTTGCACATAAGAGGACACAGCTACTCGGTGAAACTGCAGATGTGAACACGAAAATCCAGCTGCCCTAGGGCTGCAAGCCCGACACCTGCAAGCGAGATGTTGTGTCCGTGTGTCCGTGTGTGTCCGTGTGTGTGTGTGTGTCTGTTGGAAAGAAGCCCAGTTGGCGAATCCGATGCTGCACCTCCAATGGGAGCTGTGTTCCGAAGAACAACCATGTGGAAGAGATTCCTGCCACGAACAATGCTTCCACAAACTCCTCCCATCCCTCTTAGACTCGAAAAGGGTGCTGTCAATCCGAACAAGGACGATCTTCGGGTGTGTTGATTTAATGGCAAAAGCTGTGCAACAACATGTTGGCTGAGAGTGAAGAACTTCACAAGCCCAAAACTTGCCCAATTGTTTGCACCTTTTTCCGTGAACCTCTGACGTCTCTTTACGGTTCCTGCATTTACCGAACAATCTCGAAGAATGTGGTCCGAAGCCCTTGGAACGGCTTTACTTCTGAGTCATCGCATCTCAAAAGCGTGGCCAGTGCCAAGAGATGTTCTGGAACTGACCAGGCTTGACTTCGGCTCAAAATTCAACACACGAAGCTGTTTTCAGAGCGAACAAGGTTCCACTGAGAGACCTTGAGAGAACCAAGGTGTTTATTGACCCAGAAGATGTCGATTTGACATTCCATGTCAGATCATGCCAGCATGGATCCGAAAACCCTCGTCAATGCTACGATTGATATGACGGATTTGGACAACAACTCTCCTGCAAACCGAGATCCGAAAAGTGGTGGACTAATCAAGAACATACAGCGATGGGTGAACTTGGAAACGGACACATGCAATCCTGAAGTGGTGTTCACGCCACACCCCAACTGGGCGTCACTGGACTGGCAAAGTGCCCAGACGCACTCGATATTGCAACAAGCTCAAACGAAAATCGCAGACGTGGCAGACGCGGACTTCCAAGCACAGCCTCCCGCCATGGGAAATATGCGGCAGTACACGGTGAAGATGGCATGGTCACCAAGTTGGATTAGGTCCTGGTACCTTTCGAACAAGGGCACACATAAGCTTGAAAACCAAGCCGTTTGTACACTACGGCAGCGCACTCGGAGCACTCCATGACATAGTCTCGGACCAGTTCCTTCAAAAACTCGAGGAGAGCAAGAAACTGAACATTTGTGGAGTCTTCAATCAGAGAAAGTGCATCGGGAGACGAGCCTTGTCTGCACTGGCGAAATGAAGCGGGAAGCCGTTGAACACCTAACAGAAGAGACATTGGGCTCAGTGTGCTCCCCAGTGTGCTCCCCAGTGTGCTCCCCAGTGTGCTCCCCAGTGTACTCTCCTCTTAGAAAGGCTGTTGCCTTGCCCTTCATGGTGGGGAAGAAGGATTTACCTCGGCGAAAGCAGCGAATGCCCTTTTAGAGTCCTCACTGTCCTCACATCACGGCGCTCAGAGGGTCAGACTTCGTACAAAGCCAGCAATCTTCGCCAGCAGATCACGCCACCCGCTTTCCTCGCTTGCCTGCCCCACAGATATTCTATATGTTTGCCAAACACAGCTCAGAAGACTCAATCGCACGTCCCAGAAGTTGCATCAAGCCTCCTCGAGCCAAGCGAGCTTGAACGAAAAGGAAGCATCTTCCGACAAAAACCCCATGGCATGTCAGCACAAGCGAGCCTTGATTGACGAGTAGTAGCGGTACTTGCCGCTCCTTAAGCAAAGCGATTCAAACGATAATGACATGACGGAGGAAGAAACAGAAGAGATAAAGGAGGAAGGCGGTGCGGTTTGCAATATGTCACAGGGCACAGCGAAGGTGCCCGCTCTTCTGTGACGGGATTTATGGAAGGGTGAGAACAGCTTCAGAAAGAGATGCAGACAGCGAGAAGGCCTGAGTCGGCTGAGGACGTGGAATGTTGAATCTCTGCTCTTTGTCTGTTGGGAGACAGGGAACGAGAGCACAGAAAAGATTGAGTCTTGAGGGCCGCACTCATCAGGCTGGCGAAAGGGTGTACCATGCTTGTTCCAAGCTTCCTGGTGCTACAGGCAGCAGCTATGTCATGCTATGTCAAGCTACATTGAGATGTTCCTGCATGTCAACAGTACAGAGCCTGCACAGATAAGCCATGCGCTGGGGACAGAAACAAGTTCCCTCTTGAAACGCCTCTCGGCGCAGGGATGAAAAACAGCGATGTCCTGCGCGCGTGGTTCAAGCAGACGGGCGAGATAGGTCTCTTCCTCCTTCCACTCGCTGCGATCCTTGCACGATGCTAACATCCAGCGTTGCTGCAGGGCGCATTGAATTGCAGAGCTGAGATTGGACTTCGTGCGAACTGACAGAAGTCCTTGGCCCAAAGAGGGCAAAAGTCAACGTCCAAGCCCATGAGCGTCTCATGGATTTCGATGAAATGGTCCAACCTGTAGCCGCAAGATCCGCAATTCTAGCTTCCACAAGCTTCTCTAGCCAGCCTTGGTTCGCATGAAGCAAAACTTTGTTCGTGGCAGCACGTTGCATATCACCGGGCTGTGCAACCGGGGCCATCACTGATCGAGCAAAGCAGTGCGCTGGTCGAAGCTGGTTTCTTTGCCATTCCTTCCCCGCAGGAGGCGCAGATTCTCCTGACACACACAGCCCAGAGACGAGAGAACTTCTGGAAGAGAAGAACGAGCTGTTAGCAGGAGTCCCGTGGAGTCGCGATCAGACACGCGAAGCCATCAAATAAGCGCGCAAAAAACGCACACAACCCCCTTCAAACTCCGAAACGAAACGTCCACATTTGTCGACAAGAGTCCTGCGAGTCCGTCACTAGCTGTTCCTGGATCTTCCTTACCAGGGCCGGCTTCATGGGAGCCTCCATCAGCACGTTGGCGGTGATGGGGTTGATAGTGATTTTTGCGCGCTCCTCCTCTGACAGCAAAGCTGCCCAAGTTCCTTCCGTGTTCTCCTGTGAGTTTACAGGTGTGGCGTCCTCGAAGTTGTATGTGATACAAGCCGGATGGTGATGCTGATGATTGGCCCAGAGCTGGTCTGCATTGAAAACAACGTCGATCGAGTCATAGGGCAACCAATCCACCAGCGTCGCACGTTCGCCGCCTTCCGTTAGCAGCTGAGGCTTGGGTGCGATGGGCAAGCGGCGTTGTGTTTCCAACATGTCATGCCGCACCATATCCCGGCCCTTAAGGGCTCCCGCACGCTGCTTTGCCCGAGGGGCTCGGCCCACCCTAGGGACATCCTGTATGTCCCCGGCTTCGATCATGACGTCCTCCACCTCATCGGTGGCACGATCCTGTGCCACTAGAAAATCCTTGTCGTCCTCATCATCCTTCTGGACAATGTCTAAGCTCTCAGCACTCTTCGCGATCGCCTGGGCATTCTTCCGCTTCACCCACCGGTGTGGCAGGTGATAGAGCTCTCTGGTGGATGGCTCCCAAAACGTCACCCAACCATTATCCTCACGCGTCATCACCCAGGTGTGCTCCACGAGTCGGGACTTCCCAGAATTCGACGGCAGTCGCACCATGCCTTTCACGACGAAAGCATCCCTGGACATGCCTCTTAGAACGGAGCAAAGCAGAACGGCGTGGTCTTGCGGAGAACCTGCCCGGCTAAACAGCAAGAACTGCGAATCTCGCCACATGTCCTCGTTGATGAGTCCGCTCCGCTCCTGCTTTGCGTTCATCCTGTATGTAATGCAGTGTATCCAGTGCAGAAGCTTGGCAGGCTTGGTGTACTCCTGGCTGACGATAACATCAGAAATGAAGGACATCAAAGGCATGGGTTCCAGGGTCATCTGGTGGAGGCCCAAGCAGGGAAATGTTCTTACCTGGGCCACACGGGAGACTTCCGCAGAACATGACATGGCGCCAATTGAATCTGGAAACGGCCCTGCATAGTTCTCAGCAAAAGCTTCGTTCTTCTTTTGAAATTCAGACCTTTTGCCCTTCCAGAATGTGTCCTCGACTGAAGCATCATCCACATGCTCGGCCAATCCCTTAAAATCCGTCGGAAGCCCAGGATAAAAAAATGCTTCGCAATGTACCAATGCCTCATTGTGGTTCACGATCTGACATCCGACCAGCGGAGTGCGAAAACCATCATACCAGCGTACTTGGCGCTCCTTATCGTACCACTGAACATCTTTGTCCTCCTGGACTTCGAGCTCGTCTTCGAGATTCTTTTCAACTTGCACACGTCCGCGCAATGTGCACAGAACCACATGATTACCTCACAGAGGCTAGCAACGACTGGAAAAAACCCTGACAAAACTGGCAGAGACTGAGGAGATTCGAGGAGACACATGAGTAACATGAGATGGGGTGCTGCTCAGGACAGAGAGGAGGGAGATGTTTGCCACTCCCAGCGATGTAGAGGAAGCCTCGTCGAAGTGCCAAGCCTGGATCTGAATGTCCCCCTTCGCTTTCATCTCGTGACGGAATGCAGTCTCCAAGTACCTTCGAGAAGTGACTCGCTCGTTGAAGAACCGGACGGGGAAGTAGAATGTGTGATTGAAGGCTGGTCGGATGGTGTCTTTCAAGACCGGAGACGTCTGCATCATGTTGTCCCAACCTTGGAGAGGCGCTGAGGCAGTCATGTCAAAAATCGGGATGGGGGGTGGGGGTGAGGGAAGGAGGGGAGTGTGGGGAAGGGGGGAGGCTTGGGAACTGAGAGGTTTGCAGCCAGGCCACTGACCCGGATGAAGGGGCTGGAGGAGCCCTTCTCGTCGTCGGCCACCGCCAGGCCCTCGCACTTCTGAATGCGTACCACGAGATGCACCTCCTGACCTCAGTGTCGAATCACACCAAAGAGAAGAAGCGTTGTCTCCCGTGATTCCATCTCCCTCTCCCTCTCTCCCCCTCTCCCCCTTGTTGCTTGATTTTCTTCATTTCTTCATTTCTTCATTTCTTCATTTCTTCATTTCTTCATTTCTTCATTTCTTCATTTCTTCATTTCTTCATTTCTTCATTTCTTCATTTCTTCATTTCTTCATTTCTTCAGTTCTTCAGTTCTTCATTTCTTCACTTCTTCATTTCTTCCTGTCTTCATGTTTTCGTGTCTGCGTGTCTTCGTTTCTTCATGTCTTCGCTTCTTCATTTCTTCGTTTCTTCATGTCTTCGCTTCTTCATGTCTTCGTTTCTTCATTTCTTCATTTCTCCACTTCTTCATATCTCCACTTCTCCATTTCTCCATGTCTCCATTTCTGTATTTCTGTATTTCTGCATTTTGCATTTCTGTATTTCTGTATTTCTGTCCTTCTGTATTTCTGTATTTCTTTACTTCTGTGTTTCCTTATTTTTGTACTTCATTATTTCGTTATTTCCTTATTCCTGTATGTCTGTATTTCTCTATTTCTTTATTTCTTTATTTCGTCATTTCTTTATTTCTCTATTTCTTTGTTTCTTTATTTCTTTATTTCTTTATTTCTTTATTTCTTTATTTCTTTGTTTCTTGATTTCTTTATTTCTTTATTTCTTTATTTCTTTATTTCTTTATTTCTTTATTTCTTTATTTCTTTACTTCTGCATTTCTCTATTTCTCTATTTCTCTATTTCTCTATTTCTCTATTTCTCTATTTCTCTATTTCTCTATTTCTCTATTTCTGTATTTCTGTATTTCTGTATTTCTTTATTTCTTTATTTCTTTATTTCTTTATTTCTTTATTTCTTTATTTCTTTATTTCTTTATTTCTTTATTTCTTTATTTCTTTATTTCTTTCTTTCTTTATTTCTTTCTTTCTTTACTTCCTTACTTCTTTACTTCTTTATTTCTTTATTTCTTTCTTTCTTTCTTTATTTCTTTATTTCTTTATTTGTTTATTTCTTTATTTCTTTATTTCTTTATTTGTATATGTCTTTCTTTCTTTACTTCTTTACTTCTTTACTTCTTTATTTCTTTATTTCTTTATTTCTTTATTTCTTTATTTCTTTATTTCTTTATTTCTTTATTTCTTTATTTCTTTATTTCTTTATTTCTTTATTTCTTTATTTCTTTGTTTCTTTATTTCTTTATTTCTTTATTTCTTTATTTCTTTATTTCTTTATTTCTTTATTTCTTTATTTCTTTATTTCTTTATTTCTTTATTTCTTTATCTCGTTATCTTTATTTCTTTATTTCTTTATTTCTTTATTTCTTTATTTCTTTATGTCTTTATGTCTTTATGTCTTTATGTCTTTCTTTCTTTATTTCTTTATTTCTTTATTTCTTTATTTCTTTATTTCTTTATTTCTTTATTTCTTTATTTCTTTATTTCTTTAATTTCTTTATTTCTTTTATTTCTTTATTTCTTTTTTTCCTTTATTTCTTTATTTCTTTATTTCTTTATTTCTTTACTTCTTTACTTCTTTACTTCTATATTTCTATATTTCTTTATTTCTTTATTTCTTTATTTCTTTATTTCTTTATTTCTTTATTTCTTAATTTCTTTATTTCTTAATTTCTTTATTTCTTTATTTCTTTATTTCTTTATTTCTTTATTTCTTTATTTCTTTATTTCTTTATTTCTTTATTTCTTTATTTCTTTATTTCTTTATTTCTTTATTTCTTTATTTCTTTGAGCACGTGCCCGCAAGTAAGGTTGCGCCAGCGCGGAGGCGTTCAAGTTTTGCGTCATCAGCGCCCGCCGGGCAGAGGCGCAGCAGGGTTATCGATAGACTTGCCGATCTTGCTGTGACGAGGGAGAGGGGAGGCAAATTGGGCATCGGGATTCAGAACAGCATAGTAAAAACAAAGAGCGCGAGAGCGAGGGCGAGGGCGAGAGCGAGAGCGAGAGCGAGAGCGAGAGCGAGAGCGAAAGAGCGCGAGAGAGAGAGGCAGAGAGAGAGAGGGAGAGAGGGAGAGAGAGAGAGAGAGAGAGAGCGCGAGAGAGAGAGAGAGAAGCAGAGGAGCTTCCTCAGGATCCCAACTCATCGCCTGCCCACTGTGGGCTTCAGAAATCTCGAATATGGTCTAGCCAACAGCAGATTGGCGCTCCCAACTAATCTTGAGCCCACCTTTAAGTTTCCATGTTTAGGTCTCATATCCTTAGCCCTTCGCCAATGTCAGTGATGACGTTCAGATTCACTATGCCTGTAATGCTTTCCCTTGTTTGCTTGAGTGCTGTAGCCCATGACCTTTGTCTATGTGCGTGTCAGTGCTGCATGGATTTCATGACTCTCCAAGCTTCCGTCAGATTTACGGCTCCTAGGGTAGCCTTCTTCGTTTCACTTCCGAGCAGTGATGGGCGATCTGCCAAATGACCCATTCAATGACATCCCGGGGGACGCGGCAGGCGAGCTTCCAGAGCTCGACGCGAAAGCGGCTGCAACAGGGCGGGCCTCACTGCCGTTCAGCGAGCAGTTGACTTCGGATAAGCTTGGCTCATCCAACTTTTGGTTTACGTCTGTCCCGGGTGATTCTTTATTTCTTTATTTCTTTATTTCTTTATTTCTTTATTTCTTTATTCCTTTATTTCTTTATTTCTTTATTTCTTTATTTCTTTATTTCTTTATTTCTTTATTTCTTTATTTCTTTATTTCTTTACTTCTTTACTTCTTGGTTTCTTTATTTCTTTATTTCTTTATTTCTTTATTTCTTTATTTCTTTATTTCTTTATTTCTTTATTTCTTTATTTCTTTATTTCTTTATTTCGTTATTTCTTTATTTCTTTATTTCTTTATTTGTTTATTGCTTTATTTCTGTATTTCTTTATTTCTTTATTTCTGTATTTCTGTATTTCCTTATTTCCTTATTTCGTTATTTCGTTATGTCTTTATTTCTTTATTTCTTTGTTTGTTTATTTCTTTATTTCTTTATTTCCTTATTTCTTTCTTTCTTTATTTCTTCATTTCTTTATTTCTTTATTTCTTTATTTCCTTATTTCTTTATTTCTGTATTTCTTTATTTCTGTATTTCTGTATTTCTTTATTTCTTTATTTCTTTATTTCGTTATTTCTTTATTTCTTTATTTCTTTATTTCTTTATTTCTGTATTTCTGTATTTCTTTATTTCTTTATTTCTTTATTTCTTTATGTATTTATTTCTTTTTTTCTTTATTTCTTGATTTCTTTATTTCTTTATTTCTGTATTTCTTTATTTCTTTAATTCTTTATTTCTGAACTTCTTTACTTCTGTGTTTCTTTATTTTTGTACTTCATTATTTCGCTATTTCTTTATTCCTGTATGTCTGTATTTCTCTATTTCTTTATTTCTTTATTTCTTTATTTCTTTATTTCTTTATTTCTTTATTTCTTTATTTCTTTATTTCTTTATTTCTTTATTTCTTTATTTCTTTATGTCTTTATTTCTGTATTTCTTTATTTCTTTATTTCTTTATTTCTTTATTTCTTTATTTCTTTATTTCGTTATTTCTTTATTTCTTTATTTCTTTATTTCTTTATTTGTTTATTGCTTTATTTCTGTATTTCTTTATTTCTTTATTTCTTTATTTCTTTATTTCTCTATTTCTTTATTTCTCTATTTCTTTATTTCTTTATTTCTTTATTTCTTTATTTCTTCATTTCTTTATTTCTTTATCTCTTTATTTCTTGATTTCTTTATTTCTTCCATTGCGGCCGCGTTCCGCGACTGCAGGCCGAGTACGCCCGAGTACGCCCGAGTACGCCCGAGTACGCCCGAGTACGCCCGAGTACGCCCGAGTACGCCCGAGTGCGCCCGAGTACGCCCGAGTGCGCCCGAGTACGCCCGAGTACGCCCGAGTACGCTTGAGTACGCCCGAGTACGCCCGAGTGCGCCCGAGTACGCCCGAGTGCGCCCGAGTACGCCCGAGTACGCCCGAGTACGCCCGAGTACGCCCGAGTACGCCCGAGTACGCCCGAGTACGCCCGAGTCATACCCGGTCATACCCGGGCATACCCGGTCATACCCGGGCATACCCGGGCATACCCGGTCATACCCGGGTATACCCGGTCATACCCGGTCATACCCGGTCATACCCGGTCATACCCGGTCATACCCGGGCATACCCGGGCATACCCGGTCATACCCGGTCATACCCGGTCATACCGTCCTGTGGTTTTCCGCAGTCGCGGTTTCCCGTCACAGTGCTTCTTTATTTCTTTATTTCTTTATTTCTTTATTTCTTTATTTCTTTATTTCTTTATTTCTTTATTTCTTTATTTCTTTATTTCTTTATTTCTTTATTTCTTTATTTCTTTATTTCTGTATTTCTTTATTTCTGCATTTCTATATTTCTTTATGTCTTTATTTCTTTATTTCTTTATTTCTTTATTTCTTTATTTCTTTATTTCTTTATTTCTTTAATTCTTTATTTCTTTATTTCTTTATTTCGTTATTTCTTTATTTCTCTATTTATTTCTTTCTTTGTTTCTTTATTTCTGTATTTCTTTCTTTCTTCATTTCTGTATTTCATAATTTCGCTATTTCGTTATTTCTGTATTTCTGTATTTCTGTATTTCTGTATTTCTGTATTTCTTTATTTCTTTATTTCTGCACTTCTTTTTTCTTTAGTTCTTTCTTTCTTTATTTATTTCTGTATTTCTGTATTTCATAATTTCGTTAGTTCCTTATTCCTATGTTTCTTTATTTCTTCATTTCAGTTATTATTCCTTTCTTCGTTCGTTTTTCCAATATTTCATTATTTCTGTATTCATTCTGTTTGTGTTTTTTTCTTTTTTTTCGGTCTTTCTTTCTGCCTGTCTGTCTGTCTTTCTTCATTCCTTTCTTTCTGTACTTTTCTTTCTTTCGTACAGAAAGTCGGTTCCTCTTTCCCTCTTTCCCCCTCTCCCTCTCTCTCTCTCTCGCTCCCTCTCTCTCTCTCTCGCTCTCTCTCGCTCCCTCTTGATGCCTGATTTCACCCCTCCTCTCCTTCTTTCGCGCTGTTTTACTCACACTTCGGCCCAGATGCTGTTCAGATGACCCACCGAGCTGGATGTTCGAGGCTGATACATCTCCAACTGAGATGGTCTGGACTGCCCGACTGGGCAGAAGATGCATGTCACACTACCTGCGCAAAGGCGGAATCAGGGGCTGGCTGACAGGCAGTAAGGTACTAGGCAAGTAGTCGCACGCAAAAACGATATGGCCAAAGAAAGGATACGTGATGCCTTCGACCCGTCCCACGTCGAAGTCCTCAACTTGATGCGTCAGGCGCTTCAGCTTTCCTTTGAAAAAAGGAACGTCCAGAACGGACTGGAAGTTGAAAACAGCGCTGGCGATAAACTTTGAAATCGGATGCTTGTCACCGACAGTCTTCTTCGAGCTGTACAGCTTTGCAAGGAAGTACAGCTGCTGCAGGCTTCTCCTGTCAGGGCAGAATGCCTGAATGCGCCGAAGATCTCATCGTCACTAGTCACTAAACACGCATGATATGCAGGATTAAGCGCTTTCATGAGCAGTCCTGGTTGCTCTGAGCGTGGCCACGTCTGCTTGCTTCCACGTGAAGGGTTCAAGTGCTGATCCTTCTGGGCGCCAATTTGTTGAAGCTGTTTGGCAATTTTTGTTCTTTGCTGGGTTTGCACGAAAGTTCTTCGGCACGATGAACTTCAGCTGCTTCTCTTCTTTCTTTCCACCAATCTTGGCACCTGCCTTCGGAAAGAACTTCCAGTTTTCAAAGAAGAGCCTTACATCAAAAAGCTCCTCCAGCACAACTTCTCCATAGACAACTCCGACATCCGAGATGGGCCGTCGATGCTTCCTCTTCTCCTCACGGTCCGCCAAAGTCAGAGCTTCACGGACGCGGATGGAAGTTTGCGACTCTCGGCTCATGATCTGCTCTAAGGTCTTCGAGCCCACGCCGTAGAAGGAGTTGAAGGTCCAAGTCGACACTTTCCACATCCCCACCTTCAGCTCTAACTTGCTGAGCTCATTTGGTGTCGCTTTGAAGGCCTTGCGCTGGTAGAAGATCCGGGGCTGGTCCAAAACCAACTTCCCTCCTTTCTCCAGCTTGTAGCATGCTGAGTACTGGGTCAAGAGCTTCACTGGTCTACCCAATGGTTTGCATGGTTGCATGGACACGGACAAGAAGCAGCGGATGTCAGACTCCGAGCCAACATACTGAACAGAAGACACTGCCACTGAAAACTCCCAGTGCAGGATCCGCTTCATGGGGTCCGTCTGCGTCTTGGCCTCCACTTGAAGCTCTTGCCGCGACTCTCGCTCACGCTGGAAGAAAGCCCAACGGCTTCTCTTTGTTGCCTCATCGAGAAGATACGACCACTTACGACTGCTTACCGCTTTTCGGGTGGGGATTGATCTGTTTGAGGGCTTGGTTGGGGCAAAACCTTCGGTCACAAGCAGACAGGTAAGATTGCGTCATGTTCGGAAAGGTTTCGTTTCTCCGCTCCTTCTCCTCGCCAGGCTTCTCTTCTGCCCCATCCTCCTCCGTCGGCTCTGCTTGGGGCTCCCCTGGATCTTGGTCATCGTCCTCTTTCTCCATGGCGGGGAGGAGCACATTCCCGCCAGGATGGTTCAGCAAACTGCAGTGACAAATTGCTCTATGTAGTTGGTTCCAATTCCAACTATGTCTTGCCTGTCTCTGCTTCTGAATAAATTTTCTTGGCTTATACAACGAAGTTTCGAGTGCAAACACCAATACAAATATGCAAAGCATCCCATGTCCCCATCTCTCTGACGAGCCAGCTCAAAAGTACTTCTGCAAATTGGTAGCTCCAAACTCGCTTGTCCCCATGCAACGACGGCCATTGCGCTGTCGACGGATCAAGGTCACAACATTGCTCGAAATAGAAAAGCAGCCCCAAAAAACCTATTCGTGCAAACAAAAACTAATCGTCCCCACTGATAGATCCCAGAATATTGAAGTAGGACGACCTCTTGCATGCCGCTCAGCAGGTCTTTCAGATGCCCAATGCCTTACAAAGGACAGGATCACCAAAAAAAAGGCGCTAGATCATCAATTGCTCGGCAGAAAGATTCCACAAAAACGAATCCCTTCGATACTCATCCCTCCCACAATGCTATGAGAAGCTTTGACCATTGTGATTCCTTTCACAAGGTTGGGAGGCGGAGAGAAGGAGGGGAAGGATGGGGGCAGGAGTAAAAGTCCGAAGGCATGGGAGGACCCGGCAATGACATAAGTGCAGCATGTGGGGCGAAAAACTTTTGTAAGCACGCCCGGGGAAGGGTCGGCTTTTGCTGGTCTGCTTGCTCGAAGCGATGCGCCCGTCACTTTTGGGCTCGACGATGACCGTTTTCTGATAGCCCCTCAGCCCAGCCTGAAAGATCTATGGGCCTAAAGCCTGCCAAGATCTGGCGGCGGGAGTGGCTGGCAAACGTTGCAAGAAAACACACAAGAGAGGGGTTGGGGCGGGCGAAGGATCGCGATGTTGACATGTGGGGGGGGCAGGAGGGGCGCCCAACCCGCCCGGCACGCATGGTTTCACTTAACGTCTCGCGAACTGGCAGGGCTGCAACCGCAAACCCAACATTGTCAGGTTTTGGATTGCATTGTTGCCCAGTTCGCGCGCCGTTTACCAAAAAACACGTGTGCCTGGCGGGTTGGGACAGTTGGGGGGGGCAGATACGCAACAGCATTGGAGAATCCAATGCCCACTCACATATAGAAATCTGAATCCCGAAACAACCTGAGGAGACCCTCAACTCCCTGAACACGAAGACCCCCAATTCACAACACCTCTAGACTTAGGATTTGTTCTAGCCTCCGCCTTGGAAAACCAGCGGTGGTTCTGCCCAACGCTTAAGAAAATCAGCTGTGTTCTCGCCGCCGCCTTAGAACAACCAGCGGTTGTTCGACCCGGCGCCGTAAAAAAAAACACCATAAAACTGCCGGGTTAACCAGCGGTTGTTCGGCCCATCGCCGTCGGTTTTTCCAGCGGCGTTAAAAAACACACCTTTTGAAAAACCACAGCGGCTGTTGCCGTAGAGAAACCACCTTGGAAAAACCGCCGGTTCTTCCGGCGGCGTTAAACCACCTGAAAAGGCGAGCCTCCTCTCTCCCAGATCGACCCTACACCCTAAAGCGTATCCCAAACATGCCATACTCAGCCATGGCAGAAGCAACAGCAACTTGGCTGCCACCTTGTTCTAACGGCCGTAGAAAAAACACTTCAGAAAAGCCGCCGGTTGTTCCAACGGCAGTAGATTCTCCACCCTTGCAAAACCACAGGAGTTGTTCTAGCCGCCGCCTCAAGAAAAACCAGCGGTCGTTCTAGGCGACGCCTTCGAAAAACCACAGGTTTCCTAGCCGCCGCCTTACAAATCCAGCGGCTGTTCTAGCCGCCGCCTTGGAACAACCACTTGGGAAACCGCTGAAAAACACAGAAACCCACCTTTGGAAACGCACAGCTGTTCTAAGCGCCGTAGAAAAACCACTTTAGTAGAAAAACGCCGGTTTTTCCAGCGGCGCTAGAAGACCACCCATGAAAACAATGGCGGTTGATCTAGCCGCCGCCTCAGAAAATCCAGCTGTTGTTCTAGCCACCGCCTTAGAAAAACCACTTTAGCAAAACCGCCCGGTTTTTCCATCAGCGTTAGCAAACCACCTTTGAAAACCAGGGCGGTTGTTCGAGGCGCCGTGGAAACACCACTTTAGGAAAACCGCCGCGGTAATCCAGCAGCGTTTGAAAAAACGACACCTCGGAAAAACCACAAGGTTAAAAAGACCACCGGCTCTTCCAGCGTTAGAAATACCGCCGTAGAAAGTACACCTCAGAAAAACAAGCTTAGAAAACATCTCAGAGATGCCGAACTGGATGACGGTCTATGCAGGGGCAGAGGCTCTTGCAACTCACGGGCGATGCTGGCACTTTTTCAGCCAGTGATTTCTGGTGAGACTCTTGCAACAGCCTGCAGCGAGGTTTAGCAGCAGTGTGAGCTTGCAATATCGGCACGGTGCTCAAGCGGATTGGGCGTTTGGCCATAGAGCTGCCTGTGGACCTGCTCGCGCACTGGATTCTGGGTGAGGAAGAGGCTGGTTCAGCAACATGAAGCCAGACACACACACACACACACACACACACACTCACTCACTGACTGACTGGTGGTCGGGCGCTGGCCTTCTGGAACTCCGTTGCTTCATGCGGGGCGTCTCGAAACGGCCGACTGGTGAGGCCTGGGGCGTGGTCCTCATCGTCCTTGCCGACGTGGACGCACGACCTCTGGGACTTTGAAGCGGAGGCTCGCCTTGCATCCCAAAAAGGGTGCGCATGTGCTTCACCTACGCTTTCCGCCTGGAGAGTTCTCGCGCCTCCCATGAAGGAAACCCTTTTGGTGGCCTCAGGGTCGGTGCAAACGGAGCATGCACACGTCTCCTTTCACCGGCTTAAGCTTGCCGCGGCCGATTGACCTATTCCTCCAGGCTTTGCTCCTTTGCGAAAGCTCAGTGTAAGAAACGATGCCTAGCAAGGATTCTGCGCCGGGCTAGCATTCTACTTTTTGGAACATGTCAGGAACACCTCCCATCGCATGCTGCTTTAATGCGTTGCGCTCGCGCTTCGCTGCGCAGCTCTCGACGGTATCTGCGCAACTCTCGACCGCATCTGCGTAGCTCATGTGCAGGGGAGCCTTCAGCCGGCACGTGACGCCGCTGTCGAGTTTCACCTTTTGGCGAGGCTGGTCTGCAGTTCCTTAAGTTTATCTCATCAATGGACCGGCATCTGAATAATAACGTATCCATCTTTCGAAAGAATACAGTCTGAAGCAAACTCAACAAAAAAGAGAAATGGTGCAGTCTCGAAAGCACTAACGAATCAGGCACTCTCTTTTTCTCCAAGTGGGGTCAAACATGACTGTGGCTCTGGCATCCTTGTGGCTGAGTCGGTCTCAGCACCTTACTGAAAAATCTTTCTTCACAGCTTTTGCTCAAGCCGAAGTGTTGCTTGAGAGCATGGATCATCACAACTGACAGAAAACGCACAAGTTCGTCCCTCATGTAAAATAGGTCGCATGCGACGTGTAACAGGTGACAAACACCCAGGAGTTTTGACAAAGGAGATGCCTACATGACGGAACACGTCATTTTCCATTTTCCAAGATAAGACGCTTGCTCGTGCCTCGCTTGCACGCATATCTACGAGATTAACTAGCTCCACACGAAGGTTGCGGTCGTCCCAAGCTAATCAAGCTCGTGGATGCACTCAAGAACCCACGCAACACTGCAGGAGCATGCCGCAAGCCCTGCAGTATAGGGCAAAGCAAATGAGACTGAGGCCACGGCGACTCATCCCATGCCTTCATTCTGAGCAGGAGATCGTGCCATGGCCCCTTTGACCACCTCAAGCCACAGTCCCAATGTGTGATGCACATGTGATCATGCAGCTCTGAGAGGGAACTGAGAGTATGGCCACTCACGGGCGAACTCAGGGTTGTCCTAGCACGCAGCACACAATGGATCACCACCGATGTCGATGGCCAAGCACCGTGGGCAGTCGCGACAGTGCGGCTTCGCAATCTGAGAAAAGAGTGCTTGGCAGGCGACTGTAGAAGTCGTCCAGACTGCTATCCTGGCACACATTGGCACACCCAACCCCCTGAGCAATCAGGGGATCACCGCTGTGGCCCTTTCGACTTCCTTACGCGATTCCCTGGCCTCCACATCCTCCATCTCCACTGCCTGGCCAACACAACCAAGCGGCACCGCCCATGAACGTCGGCAGCTCGCAGCAGTTGACAAGAGCTTATGCTGAGTCACAGGCAGGAGGTGTCTTCGGGGATGTCTTCCCTGGGGCCTGACCGCTTCCACAACTTTGCCACAGGCATCGGGTTGTACACTCGTCGATGGCCAACGTAAGGCATGGCACATCGTGCCGAAGTTCAGAAGGTGAGGTTTTGTGTTTTTCGAATTCTTTGCCAAGGGTCAGCTCGTCGACCATGCGTGCGTGCGTGGGTGCGTGGGTTGGTGGATGGGCGTTTGATTGTGACTGTGTTGTTTGTGTTTGTTTGTGTTTGCTTGTGCTTGCTTGTGCCTGCTTGTGCTTGTTTGTGTGTGATGGTTTGTATTAGTTTGTGTTTGCTTGTGCTTGTTTGTGTTTGCTTGTGTTGTTTGTGTTTGTTTGTGTTTGCTTGTGTTTGCTTGTGTTTGCTTGTGTTTGTTTGTGTTTGTTTGTGTTTGTTTGTGTTTGTTTGTGTTTGTTTGTGTTTGTTTGTGTTTGCTTGTGTTTGTGTTTGTGTTTGTGTTTGTGTCTGTGCTTGTGTTTGTGCTTGTGTTTGTGCTTGTGATTGTGCTTGTTTGTTTTTGTTTGTTTTTGTGTTTGTTTGTGTTTGTTTGTGTTTGTGTTTGTTTGTGTCCGTTTGTGTCCGTTTGTGTTTGTTCGTGTTTGTTTGTGTTTGGTTGTGTTTGTTTGTGTTTTGTTTGTGCGCATGTGCGTGTGCGTGTGCGTGGGTGTGTGGGTGTGTGTGTGTGTGTGTGTGTGCGTGTGTGCGTGTGTGTGCGTGGTGTGCGTGTGTGCGTGTGTGCGTGTG